AGAAGCAGACTCCCCACCGAGCAGGGAGCCCCATGTGGGGCTCGATCGCAGCACCCTGGGATCATGATCTGAGTCAAAGGCAGACGCTTAACTGACTGAGCCAGCCAGGCATCCCTATCCAAACCCCTTCTGATGGTCCAACAGGTCCTGCCTGATCTGGGCCCCACAGCCTCATCAACCACCTTGGGCCCTCTGTGCTCCAGCCCCTCAGGCACCCAGAGCTCCTCTGCTTGGCCATGCAGGTCCCTCAGCCTGAAATGCTTTTCCCTACTCTGTGTCTAACTCTTACTCAACTCCAGGTCTCCAATGTCAGGTCCTTAGAGAAACTTTCACTGACTTCTCACTCAAAATCATACCTCCTGTTTTTCTTTTTCATCCCACCTTTTAACTTGCCATTAAGAGCACTGACTTCACCATGCAAACATATAGTTGTTGATGTGATTATTTGTTGACTGCACGTTCATCCCACAACTCCACTGTTCATTTTCTGTATCCAGTGTTTGCCAGGCAGGGGATGGTATTTGGAGGGACAATTCTTCCTTGTACGTACGGTGTATCAGTCAGGTGATGCCATGATGACCATGCTTAGCAAACAACTCCAAATCTCAGTGCTCAGACCAAACATTGATATCCTGCTCACAGGGCTGGCTGGATTGAGCTGGGCTGGGGTTTCAGGTTCCCTCCCTTCTCTCATGTCTGTTTCTCAGTCAGAGGCTCAGGCCGGGGGGAGCAGCGGCTGCCTGGGTAGGTTCTCATGATGGATGGAATGACCATAAAAGAGTGATGGAAACACAGAAGAGTTCTTAGCACCGCAGCCCAAACTGGCACAATCCCATAGCTTCCCACATTCCTTTGGCCAAAGCAATTCTTTGACTCAAAATCAATGCAGGAGCCTTGACATCCATAACAGCTGGGTGCTAAACGTTGATAATACCTCCCAGTCACTGTGAAAACTCCAAATGCCCCCTGGATGCTGAATCACTGCTGCCACCCTCATTGAAATTGCTTCTCAGTGCCTGGCACACAGTAGGCACTCGATGCATATGTGGCGAAAAATTGACTTTGCCAAATCACCCCCTAGAACCTTCGTTAAAACTTACTTATTGACTAGGGAGTGCAATGGCGGTTTAATGTCCTTTAAACAGTAATTATTACTTTCATGCAAAGGTACCTCATTTTAATTTTTTAATTATTTAATGAGAATTTTTTTCATATGTTTAGTGACCATTTCTTTTAGAAATTCTCTCAAGTCTTTTGTCCAATTTTTTTTCTTTCGCTCACTTTTGTATTAAATTTTTCTTCCTCATTTGTAAGAACTCTTGTCACAGGTAATGAACATTTTTCCAGTTTGCCTTTCAAATGTTTTACTGATTTTCCGACAGGACAGGCAGACATTGTTCCTATTTACCTAGCTTCATCTCACCCTTTTCTTGCATGGCCTACTGCAGTAAACATTTTTACTGGCACACAAAATGGACACATTAAAATGTTTTTAACCACTCTTTTCATGGGCTATTGACATGGTTTCCAGGTTTTTCTCTCACAAATAGCATTGTGATGAAGATCTTTGTACATAAGTCCTAAAAGTGGCAGCATCACATCCAAGGATATTTTTTAAGTTCTTGATACATTTTGCCAAATGACTCCTGAGACTCTACCCTCCAGGACCCACACCCCAGCTCCTCACACTACAGGTGCTGACGTGCCAGGCCCTGCTGATAAAGCCTTGACCAGCCAGCCTTGTCTGGTGGCAAGCAAGGTGAGAGAAGAAACAGTGGGTCTGGAGGGGGGATAGAGGCTGTCCAGAACATCCCAGATCCAGAAGGATCTGCCTGGAATGCTTTTCTCTGAGCTCTTTTCATGGCGCCTTCTTGAGACTTAGATCTCCCCTCGAAAAGTGCCTGAGTCCTATCCTCACTCCTCCATCTGGAAGAGCCTTGGGCTCCAGCTATTCCCTATCATATTTTACACTGGGATTTTTTTCTTTCCTGAAGAGCATTAATCTAGCCAATATTATCTTATTAAGTGGCATGTTTCATTTCTGGCAGTAACTATCTTGTCCGGCTTGCTGACTAGTTTCTCCAGCACCAGGAACTATTCCCTGGCACAGCAAAGAGTGGGGCTCAAATTGGCTGCTTATTGGAATCACCTGTGAAATTTTAAACATTTCAGATTTTAAAAATCTTGCCTACCCAAAATAAGAAATTTTTAATTATTAAATCACTTTACCAAGAAAATGTGAGATCTCATTTTCTTCAGGAGATACAGAATGCGTGTGTGTGTGTGTGTGTGTGTGTGTGTGTGTGTGTGTGTGTGCGTGCTGGGTTGTGTCCAGAAGCAGAGGAGGTTTAGGTTTGCTTGCACCACCCGGGCCTTCATTTTTTACTACAGAAATGTGATATGCTAAATATCGGATGGTGTGTTGTAAAACTTTACTGCTTGAGAATAGATTAGTATATGATTAAAAATTTTCAGGAAGAACTCATTTAACTTAAAGACTCTTAGCTCATTTATGGATCTTAAATTCTGTGTGCCACCGTGATCTATAAAGAAACTTATGAAGTCACTGTTCACTACTGTGCTGCATGTAAAACAGTATACTCCAAGGGAAAAAAAAAATTCCCATATTTATGTCTTTCCCCAGACCAATTAAAGCAGAATCTCTGGGAGTAGAATCCAGACTTTGGTAGCTTTTAAAACTCCCCACATGATTCCAATGTGCAGCAAGTTTGAGAGCCATTGACATAGAAGTAATATTTGTTGGACGAATAAATGTTTGATAGATGAATAAAAGGACATCATGAATCAGAAATTTGGGGCTCTGGTCTCAGCACAGCCACTAACATGCTATTAGTCACTCTACTTCCCTAAACACATACAGGATGCCTTTAAGAGCCCTTCCTTCTTGAAGACTTCATATTCTCCTTCTTGGTCACAGCAAGAACCAAGTTGGAAGGGCTGGGAGAAATGAGAACAAAATGACTGAGGTTTTCTAGAAAACTTCATTCAGGATAAAGGTAATCCTAACAGGAAGCTCTTTACTATGGCACCCCCCTTTTTTTTACCTAAAAAGGGAAACTATTTGTGAGGTTCCTGAGAATCTTACACTTAGAAAAACATCACGCAGCTCTATACTGAATGTGCAAAGGAGAGAGAGAATGATCCCTAATCCCCAAAGATCCCACTGGGGTTGCAAAATGTGTGTATGGGTACCCTGAGTGGAGAGGGACAGAGAGGCATTTATTCCAAAGTCCTCACAAACCTCCTTCTCTGACATTGTCTGTTCAAGGTCTTCTCCAAAGCTGCACTGGGGCTCTGCTCTCAAACACAGGAAGCCCAAGCTTTCTTGACTGCTGCCATGGCCATTTTGCTGGGATCTTTCAGGAAAAAAAAAAAAAAAAAAGGCATGCTCCCAACCCAAACTCTGCTACTGTCACCTCACACAGACAGTAAAACTGGGAAAGTTAGCTGCTCATGTTTATTTAAACATTGCAAAGGTATTTACAACAGGGAACTTGTGTGTGGCCTACCTGAGTTCTATTATTCTCCAGACCCTATTCTCTGAACTACTTTATATACAGCTATTTAGGCTTGCCTGCTATGTGAGATTTTGCTATCTGTTCCCAGGTATCAATACTTTCTAGTCATTCAAGAGCGGCCATAAATTATCCTCCATTCCCTCTCAACCTATACCACCTCAGGGAAGGGCGATTTTAAAATTACAAAAATAAATACATTTGGGAAGTTGAGAATGGGTGCCTTAAAAATTGAGATTCATTGGCTTCCCAATGGGTGAGTGCAAGATGTCACATAACTCTGCTAAGAGAGTTCCCATTTCAACACCTTAATTTCCTTATTCAATTTTCTCAAATTTGGGCTGCCTGGCACATAGTTTTGTTAGCAGTATTAGCAAACTGCATTTAAGAAGGAAATGGTAGTTCTTAGGGCCTTTGAGACCACATGGGTATTGCGTCAGGACAAACTCCAGGAAGAGTACCAAAAAGCCCAAAGAATTCCTTCAAGGACAAACATTTACTGAGTATCTACTTATTAAGATGCTAGGTATGCAGAGAGGAAACACACACACACACACACACCTCTTGATCTCTAGGAGCTCAGAACTTCACATCCCCCACTCCCCCCCATCCCCCCCCCCAGAGGGAACGATTTCTTATACAGCAAATTTTCATGTCACCTCTTTCTTCATCGCTAAAACGAAATAAATAAATTCATAAAGCTGGAGAAGCCCCTTTGAAGCAAGTGAGTGTTTGGAGGGGGTCTTGTGGCCCGGGAGACAACCCTTTTAAAATATAACTGCCATCCATCTTCTGGGACAGACAAGGGGTGCATCTTGTAAGCGACGTGGCAGCTAAAATGACGTCAAAACCGAGTTGCACTCTCAGAGATGACCTTTTCCTAAGAAACACTCAGAGCTAGGGATGTTGGGAGAAGGGGGATATTATCCCAAACCGGGTTTCCTGGGAAACAAGACGCACTGGCTGGAACACTGTGGAAGCAGCGGGCGTGCCGCCTTTCTCGGGGGCTCCGTTCGCTGGGCCGGATATACAGCGAGAAGTTTGCCCAAGTGCGCGTGAAGCAGGGGACACCCCGATTCAGCTAGAACCGGGCCGGGGTCTGGAATTCCCAAACGCATTCATGCCGGAATTCGAACACCAGAGCGAGGGGGCTTCCGAAGTCCGGCTCACGGAGCGGACAGCACCCCCACTTGGGGCATCCGATGCCTGTGAAACGCAGAGAGGGAGCCAAAATGCAAAATTTCCCCGAGATGAAGGAATCGCCTCTTTTGTAAAGCACCTCGGAGAAAACTGCGGAGCTCCGGAGCTAGGGTCCCGCGAACACCGGCCCGAGAGCCCAACGCGACAGTAGCTCGAGCTTTCCCCGCCGACCCGCCTTGCCCCGGGCTGCTCTCACGCAGGCGCAGTTGCGCCGCGCTCGCGTCCTAGCGCGCATGCTCCGCGGGGCCGCCGAGCTCCCGGCCGGCGGCGGCGGCAGCGGCTGCGGAGGAAGTTCCCGCTTTGCCTCCACCCCGGTAGCAGCTTCGCGGCTGGGGACAGCTTCCTCCGGACGCTCCGCGATCTTTGCCGCCGCCGCACGTCTGTCACAGGACCATGGGGTTGACCAAGGGGCCGGAGGGCCAGGGTCTCCCGGAGGTAAGGACCTCCCTCTCCCTGACACGTCCGGGTTCTTGGGAGAGGGCCGAGCCCGCGGGGCTGCTGGCAGAGCGGGTCCCGGGCAACGTTTGGGGCGCCCCGCCCCCTTCTCAGGTGTGTCCCCCGCGGGGAGAGCTGGCCCTGTGCGCCGGGGACCGAGCAGATCCCCCTGCCTGGGCGGGGGCGGAGACAAACTTCAGCCGCTCTCGGGTCCCCCGGGACGGAGGTGGTCTTTGAGCCCAATACCTAGCCCCACGCAGCCCCAGGCGCCGAGGGGCCCGGGGTCCCACTTCTCCCAGGCAGTGTTCCCCGACCCCTAGCGCCGCAGGGCTCCCCCGAAGCCCGGCGCTGCTGCGCCCTGGGAGTCACGAGACGCGTGCTGGGACGGTCCGGGCTCGGGTTGTGCAAAGGGTGGTGACCTTGTGGCGCCTGCTGCCGCCTCGAGGGGCCGCGGGGTCCCGACGGCCCGCCCCACTCGCCTCGGTGTGTGCAGGGAATGCACGCCAGACCCTTGTAGCAGCAGGAAGTTTGGGAACCGTGCGCGCACTGGGTTGTGTGCTGGAGGCGACGCGCTGTGTGGCCGGCAGAGCGCCTGGCGGAAGCGTGGCTGCTTCCCCAGAACGTAGCGGGTGCCTTTCCTTCAGGGGTGTTTGTTATTAAATACTCACCGGATCCTGAGGCATAGGATAATCAGTGGTTTGCGGATTTCCACATTGGCTAGGAATAAAGGGAACGTGCATTTCCTTTTGGCTGCAAGTGTCATATAGCTAGGTGGTTTGCACGTGTCTTCCAGTCGCTTTACTCCAAAGCTAAGTCTAAAGTACTAGATTCTGGAAAGAAATGGAACCCACACTGCACCTCTACCCCCCCTCCTAAAGTTCTGAGGCAGGCATTTGGCAGGACTGATACCTTGACATGTTGAGTGGTTCCTTCGCTTTCAACTGCCTGTCATCCCACCCGCCCCACCCCCTGCCAATCCTCAATTCTTTCATCCCACAAGTAGCCAGTAATTGAGGGATCACTGTTCTGTGCATAAAGGCTGGGGATATAGTGATGGAAGGACAGACTTATCTGTCAGTGTATGTTCCCAGAATGTAAGTCTATTTTGTTGTAATCTTAGGAAAACCTAAGAAATGTCATGTTGTCAGAACCCTTGTATTAGGTAAAACCTTACATGCAAATTACATCGATGGAATGGGGGATTGTGAAGACTGAGAACTGTATCCTGGTATTTGATATTTCTTTTTTTTTTGGTCACTTGTTTATTTTACGTTCTCATCAAGTTTTTGCCTGGCCTTTTGCTACTGACTCCTGTCTGGCCTCTCAGGTTTCACCTTAAATCCCTCCAATTGAGTATCCCACAGTACTATAAATGGGGGGTCTTTTTTTTTTTAAGATTTTATTTATTTATTTGACAGAGAGACAGAGACAGCGAGAGAGGGAACACAAGCAGGGGGAGTGGGAGAGGAAGAAGCAGGCTTCCCGCTGAGTAGGGAGCCCTGATGGATCCCAGGAGTCTGGGATCATGACCTGAGCGGAAGGCAGAGGCTTAATGACTGAGCCTCCCAGGCACCCCAATGGGGGGGTCTTTCTAAAGTAAAAAGCAACATGATCCTCTGAGTCCTTCGTTTAACCCTTCTCTGACTGCCAGGAGGCTGGGTCTGATATGTCACTTTTCTAGGAACCTAAGACAGTTCTTGGCAATTAGGAGGCATACAGGATAGATATAGTTAAATTACTATCATTTAGTTCAAAGACCAGTACATATGACTATGGATAGTCTGTGTCATTAAGCTGTCACTCATCCAGTTAATTCCTTAAATTCAATTTTTTAAACCCTTTACTGTATGTCTGTGAAGGACAGGAAGATAGCTAGACTTGGCCCTGCCTTCCAGCTTCCGTGAACTACAGTACAGAGCAAATGAACATTTAGCGTGCCTGGTTTAAGAGCTCACAGTCTTTCATCTTTATCAGAGTTTTAGTTTTTTAACAATGGATGTATTAACCAATCTGATGGCTTTTTATACCCTCAAGAGAGGGTATTCTTTCAGTCACTATGTGTTAGCCAGTGGCCCTTTCTCATTTTCAGTATTAATCTGTGAAGTGAATGTGGAGTCTTATTAACATTCTCCATTCAGTGTCTTGCACCAAGACGTTATTTCACAGGTTATATTGCAAAAGTGTACATACTTCTCCATTCTGGGTGTGAGTGGATAAAAAACATGGGCCATGCATCTGCCCTGGGGTTGGCCAGTGGGTGTTCATTAGGTACAAGGCAAAGCAGGAATGATCCTCCTGGGATGAAATGTCCTCTTCTTGGAAGTGTTTTCATGATAAGTGATGATTGAACAAATGAAGGGTTCCTCTTTTACATCCTGGGAGTTTTAAGAAAATACTTATATCACCCCATTTTTCTCTTCTACTCCATCTTTGTGAACCATATTGCTCTTTACCTTCTCATTTCTTTGAGTCTCCCCACTTAGAGATGTTCCTTAACTATCCCACATCTTTTGCAAAGGAAGAGAATGTGTGAATAATTAATATTACTTTGTTTTTCATGTCCCCTAAGAACCAGGGAATACTTTGATAGGCTGGACCAAGGTGATTTGAGAGAGGAGTAAAACAAGCTGTCACCTGTACCACCTCCTATTGCAAGAGACTGTCAATCACTTTAATAATTCTTCGTTCAACTATTTGTTAATCTGTAAGCTCCCTCTCCTGGCATTTGTACTTCAAAATAAACTTGAATTTCCATTATCAGTGTCATGACTATGAAAACATTTTGTTAATCCATGACTGGCATAGGTCATGCACTTTATGTGATGATTGAACGTGTCATTCCATATTTAATTGTCCTTTGAGCCTAATGCTACTTCAGAAGAGGTGTTAAACATGACTGAATGATATATGGGTCCTTTCCTGATCCAGCTAATAGCCCATTTCAAAAGACGGGCATATATATTAACACCAGACATTTTACTGAGAAGAGGTTGAAACTTAGTTGTATGAATGGCAAGAACTGTAAATAAAATAGAAATGCAGAGGAGTGACCATTTCAGGCTGCATTCGTCAGGGTTGGCATCAAATAGGAGCTAGAATTTGAAGCTGGTTTCTGGGTGGTTAGAGAATATCAGAAGGGAAGGAGTGTGAACAGTGAAGAAAGGGGAATGAGCCATGCTTGAGACTCGCCATAACCATAACTGGATTGTTTTAGAGGGAGGTAAAGGATGAAGCTGAAAAGATAGGTTGCAGCCAAAGATCTGAATGCCAAACCAAGAAGTTTGGAGTTTATCTTACAGACAGTGTATGATGTGTTAATGATAAGGACTGGGGGATGAGCTAAAGAGGGAAGATGCAAAAGCTGTGATTTAGGAAGGAGTAAGGGAAACAGATTAACAGAAGAAAGATTGAGAGGCTATTGCAATAGTCCTGGCATGAAGTGTAACTAAAAGGGAAGAGGGTAAATGTGACATGTATAGTAAAGGAAGAGTTTACAGGCATTGTTGGGTGAGGGGTAGTCAGGGGTGGGTACAAGAATTTGAGCCAGCTATACATTGGCCGTGTTTTATATAGAGTACTGGTTTTTTATGTTCTGCAGTAATGGAAGAGAGGAAAGGTACCATTCATGAAAGTAGATGGAGGCAAAAGTACTAGAATATTTCAGTTGTTTTTAAGTTGTAGATCAACACCTGGGAGTGAAGGTAAGATACAACTTAACTTTTTAAAATCAGATCCCTATTCATACATTAGATGAATTTATTATTTTTAAGGCAATCCCATTATGTGGCAGTAATCATCCTTCAGTGTATCTCGGTTGAAAGCCCTCCTTGTATTTGCTTTAGAGATCCAAAAGAGAAGTGCAGAGAAAGATACACATCTGAAATCCCTTCTTTGTTCTTGCCCTGTTTGTCAGTAGCTTCTGGGACCAAGATGTGCATGAAGTTTAAAAACAAAAAACAAAAAACCTTCTTTTTGTCTGTAAGGAGTTTATAATTTAGTCGGGAACCTGTCAAGTAAACAGTGTGTTAGAGAACAGGGAGGTAATGTGCTGTAATCTTCCCGTATCTGCTCCCACCACGTCGGACGATTAACACAGCTCATTGACGCCTGAGGACACTGTTCCTTATGGCAACCCTGTGTCCCCACGCTCCTGCGTGAACAGTGAGACAGCCAATGTCACCTGCTCCTTAGCTATTAAATTGTGGCATCAGGGGATACAGCCAGTGTTCCTTTATTTAAGTTAGCTTTTACCAGCCTAACTTTTAACTTTTGTTTTAGGTAGAAACAAGAGAAGATGAAGAACAAAATGTCAAGCTGACTGAAATTCTGGAGCTTTTGGTTGCAGCTGGGTATTTCAGGGCAAGAATTAAAGGCTTATCACCTTTTGACAAGGTAAGGGGAAACCTTTCTAATCATTAGGCTGTGTTTTGTTGGGATGGAATGGTTTACCAGGGCAGAGAAAAGAGGGAGAGATTGTGTTTTTACTTTCTCCAGTGTCCATGTTTCTCTCTGATTCAGGTTCGTTATTAGAAGTGTTCCAGTTTCCTATTACAAGAAAATAAAAATGTATCAGTAGATATGCCTTGAATTCCTTTTCTGTGTACAGAACTTTGGGAAGTGCAAAAAAGCATTAGAAATGGTTCTTCCTTTTAAGGAACTTACAGTTTGAGTGGAGAGATAAAAGTTATGTAAGATAAAATCTGAGTTAATAAGGAGCTGTCCCAAGTCAGTGTGCTCACAATTGCCACATATTCTAATGATGGTAAATTCTGAATTTGGAGGAAAGAGAAGTCACTATGGGGTAAAGTCTTAATTCAGCAGAACCTTCAAGAATCGTGCACGAGGCATAGTAATAAATGTTGAGGGCACAGAGATCAGACCAAGGCCCTGTACTCAAAGAGCCCAGCTTCTATAGAATAGGGAAGGAAGACAAGTAAAGCAACATACATAGAATCAGTGTCACGATGCAGTAAGTGCAGCAGAAATGAAGCTTCCAGATCAGACAGAGCAGGCCAGGAAATCTCCCCAGTGGAAGAAAGTGTTGAGTGCTCCAGTGGGCCATGGCCTGGCTTTGCATAACAATCACTGTGGACTGTTTTATAATACAGATGTTGAGGCCTCACCCTTTGATAGTTTGGTTAGATCTGGACTGGGGCCTGGAATCTGTATTTTATAGGCATCTCGCATGTGTCTAAACACAGCCAGAGATCAGAGTCCCCATCAAGCTATATCTGAAAAGGATTTTGTTTCAGGGTGGTTTTTTAACCTCAGTCTCGTTTGCATCTCTGAGAAGTCCTCTGAGAAAAGTAGAGCAGGGATTCTCCTCTTCTTTAGATACAGGAAAAAAACAAGATGTATGGAAATTCAGTAATGAGCCACAACTTGAGCCTTGCTACTGTCTGTCAGCCTGTCTGATCTGCAAAACACATAATTCCTCTGGAATCTGGCACTTACCTGAAACTGGATTAAGACTTCTCCTGGCTGAGAATTAATGTCCATCCCCCTCAGTATAAAGAGGATCTGTGAATGATATGTCCATTTCATTAATATAAGTCAGGTCCTCGGTCACACTAGCTGCATTTCAAGCGTTCAGTAGCTGTATGTGTATTGGACAGTATGGACACAGAACATTTCCATTGCTGCAGAAGTTTTATTCAGTGGTGCTATTTTAGATGAATTGTAGTTGATGGAGTCAGAAGGACACATATAGTCTCTCTCTAAAGATACATACTTTGTATGGTCATTGATTCTGTAAAAACTTATATTTTTTTCTCCCTTCCATTTCTTTCCCTCTCCCCAAACTAGAATGAGAAAACAGATATTTTCTTTGTGTCTTGCAGGTAGTAGGAGGAATGACTTGGTGCATTACCACTTGCAGCTTTGACATAGACGTTGATTTGCTCTTTCAGGAAAACTCTACAATAGGACAAAAAATGTAAGTTATCAGAGTTTGCCACAGAAGAGCCTTAAGGGGAGAAGGGAGCTAACTTCTGAGAGTCTACTATGTGCCAAAAGTTGTGCTAGATGCTTTACATATTTCATTTTAATTTTCATTGCAATAGGTATTATCAGTTTTATAGATTATGAAATGGAGGTTGATAGAAGCCACGGTCACATAGCTAGCCTGTAAGTCCTTTAATGCTCAGACTATTTCTGACACTTTCTCTCTCTCTCTCTCTCTTTTTTCCTAGTTTCATTGAGAGATTATCGTCACATAACATTGTATTAATTTAAGGTGTACAACATAATGATTTGGTATATATATTGCAAAATGATCACCACAGTAAGTTTAGTTAGCATCCATCGCCTCATATGGTTATAAATGTTTTTTCTTGTGATGTGAACTTTTTCTTATCACAACTTTATATGAACTTTCTTATCACAACTTTTTCTTGTGATATGAACATCTACTGTCTTGGCCACTTTGGAATATACAGCACGGTATTGTTAACTCGAGTCTCCTTGCTGTACATCACATCCCTAGGACGTATCTGTCTTATAACTCCAACTACCTGGTGTACCTTTTGTCTCCCCTCACCCATTTCCCTCACCCCCCACCCTTCACCTCTGGCAACCACCAGTCTGTTCTCTGTTTCTATGAATTCAGTTATTTTAGACTCCATATACATGTGAAATCATACAGTATTTGTTTTTCTTTGACTTCTTTCACTTCATATGATGCCCTCAAGGTCCATCCATGTTGCTGCATATGGCAGGATTTCCTTTTTTCTTTTCTGGCTGAATAATGTTCCGGTGTGTGTGTGTGTGTATGTGTGTGTGTGTGTGTGTGTGTGTGTGTGTGTGTTTGTGTTTACACACACACCACATCTTCTTTATCCATTCATCCATGGATGGACACTTAGGTTGTTTCCATGGTTGGCTATTGTAAATAATGCTGCAATGAATGTGGGGTGCAGATATCTTTTGAGATACTGATTTCATTTCCTCCTGTTAAATACTCAGAAGTGAAATTGCTGGTCATACGGTAGTTCTATGATTTTTAAAATTTTTAATTTTTTAATTTTTTAGATTTTATTTATTTATTTGAAAGACACAGTGAGAGAGGGAACACAAGCAGAAGGAGTGGGAGAGGGAGAAGCAGGCTTCCCACCGAGCAGGGAGCCCGATGCAGGGCTCGATCCCAGGACCCTGGGACCATGACCTGAGCCAAAGGCAGACACTTAACGACTGAGCCACCCAGGCACCCCTATTTTTTGATTTTTTTGAGGAACATCCATACTGTTTTCCATAGTGGCTGCAGCAATTTACAATCTCACCAGCTGGACAAAGGTTCCCTTTTTTCTGTAGCCTTGCCAGTGTTATCTTTTTAGTTAGTCTTTTTGAGTTTAGCCATTCTAACAGGTGTGAGGTAATATCTCATTGGTTTTGATTTGCATTTCCCCAATGATGAGTGATGTTCAGCAGCTCTCATACTTTTTCAAATGCTCTCTAAGAATTTCCAGTGACTGCTTAGTTTATCTCTTTCCAAAGGCAGCTGGAAGGAATGTATTGGATGGAAGTTGAATAGAGTGAGGAGAGAATCTTTCCTTCCCCATTGCCTCTGTGTAAGGCAGAGCCCTACTTTGCCTGCCGTCGAGAGAAGGCAGCATGGACTCCTTGCTAGAGGTTTCGCCTGAGTGTAGCCTGCCCAGTCTTCCATAGCTCACCAGGGGCTTGGGGATTTCTTTAGACCACTAGGGGTCCCCAGTTCTGCCCAGCCCTGCCATTGGGCAGCTGTGTGACCTTGGACAAGCCTCAGTTCCCTTATCTGTCAGGAGAGGGATTTGTGATTTCAGATCTGTGTGCATCTGTGACTTATTTAATCATTTTTCTGAAGCTTTATTCTCCCCCAGGAAAAAAACTCTTCCAAATGGATTAAAGGTGGCTTACAAATATGTATATGAAGCAGTGATAGAGAAAAGGCGAAGCAAAGCAAAAGGAAAACAAATCAAGTTGGGGATAAGGCTACAGCATTTGTCATAGGCCACAACATGCCTTGTTTTCCTAAGGGTGGGCCACAGATTCGGCTCTAAGCTTTCTGGCAGCCAATAACAAGAGAAAAACATGATAAATTACCCAAGTCACAGTTTCCATGCAGAATCACCAAAATTCTTATAATAAGACCAAAGGACATCTCTGGGCTGCTCATTAAAGAGGACATATTGTTCTCTGTGACACTGTGCTCGTGAGTGCCCCGCCATGAATAGCAGAGCTCTACATCTGTGGCATCTGTCATTCTGGGACCAGGGCATCACAGCCAGTGACCTGTCGTGAAGAGTCCTTTACTGGGAATCTCCGGGATAGAGTCTAGGCATGTGGCTCTGCTCTCTGCCGGCTGGGCTAAATCCAGACATAGATTTTTATTCTTGTGTGTTTATTTTGTTTTTATTGTGTAGGTGCTACATCCATGAAGTAAAAAAAAAAAAAAAAATTCAAATACTGCCAAAGGGAACAAAATACACAGCTAATGTCTCTCCCAGTACCCTGGTTTTATTCCCTGGAAAGAATCATCTTTGCCTGTTTAGGTTTTATATTTTTCAGAGAGCTCACTTCCACATCTCTAACTTTGTATGTTTCATTCAGATCTGATAAGAGGAGGAATTTAGCTCACCTGTGCTACTCACTACATCCCCTTTGTCTCCCATCCTCCAGTCTTGTAATTATTATCTGTTTTTCTAGGATCACTTGAATAGCTTTAACCTATATAAGCTTCTGTTTCTTGACTCATTTTCATAAGATGGTTTTTCCTGGTTCCTAGCTATGTATGGTAAATGTTTTGCTATCTGTTTTTCCTTCTTACTTTTAGCCTCCATTTACCATCATATCATTATTCTTACAATGTTCAGGGCATAATATTCATAGTCTGTTTTCTATAATAGCTATTAAATTGTCCATGCTTTATCTACAGGTAGATTCTAAAAGTAAATCTATAAACAGTGTTTAATAAGAACTAAGAATTGTGGTGGTGCCAGAGAAAAAGAAATGTAATCTTCTGGACCATAATGGTGCTGTTTGATAGAGAATATTCAAAATATTGCAGTCAAACGGAATCCTTATTTATTCATTGACTCACCAAATATTTATTGAGTCCCTGCTGTGGGTCAGGCATTGTTCTGGGTACTTTGGATATGTTAATGAAAAATGTCCTGCCCTCACAGAGCTTAGAGTCTTTGCAGGGGGGAGACAGACCATAAACAACTAATTTAATAAATAATTGAATTATATATAGAAGTAATACGTGCTATGGAAAAAAATTACAGCTGGGAGGGTATATGAAAAGGGACATGGTTTGGAGGCAGTTGTATAACTTTAAGTCAGCAAGGCCTTATTGAGAAGGTGATGTGGGAGCTAAGACTTGAGAAAAGAGGGTTCCAAGCAAGGGAGACTGTGAGTGTGAAGGCTCCAAGCAGAAGCTTGCCTGGAGTATAGTGGGGGGGGAGGGCGGGCAATGGAAAAGGTGCAAACAGGTTGTGGGGGCCAGATCAGGTAGAGCTTTGTAGGTCAGAGTAAAGACTTTGAGTAGTCCAAGTGAGATGGTAAATTCTTGAAGGGTTTTGAGCAGAGGAAGAACATAATCTGTTCATAGTCAGTTTTAGAAGGAACCATCTGATTACTGACTAAGGGGGTGAAGTTGGCAGCAGGGAGATTCTTTAGCATGCTGTAGCCAGGCTCACGGGAGGAGATAGCGGCCAGGACAGTGGGCTGGCAGTGGAGGGATTCTGGATCTGCTTTGAAGGTAGAAACAACCGGATGTCATGACAGATTGGATTTGGGTGTGAATAAGAGGGAGTCAAGAATGGTTCTGAGGTGTTTGGCCTGAGCAAGTGGAGGTGGTCTCTACGAAAAGCCACTGAAAATCAGGCACACTGTAATTTGTCCCGTAATTATACAGCTTATTTTCCTTGAGTTCCTGATTGCCTTTTTTTTTTTTCTTTTTGACAAGGAAGCACATAGCCTTACCTGTAGCTCAGATCAGCCAGATTCTTAGTCTGTTTATTAACATAAATTCAACACCTTCTCGAGGACACTCTTGATTGAAGCCTCTTTCTGTTTCAGCTTAAGGGATTGCTTTTGATACCTGCGGCACCCCCGATATGCTGGGGTTTCTTTCAGTTGCATTCTTTCTGCACCAGTCTTACCACTTCCTAGATTCTCTCTATCCCTTCTTCCTAAATTCCCTTGGTGTTTTACAGTGGTTCTTAGCCTCTTTTTCACCTTGGTGTCCTTGGGGGTTCTGATACTTTCCCATCAGTGTGACAGTACTCTTAATAGATACTGGAGTACAGTGTTTTTATACAGATTCTTAATCTGAAATCTAAAAAACAATGAAAACAGGTTTTTTCTTTCTCAGTGTGGATACAAAACTCATTTGGGAACAAAACATGACCTGAACTTTTTTAAGGCTATTTATAGTCTATATTGATCCCACTTAGGTGAACACTCATAAGTTTTGCTGCAGAAATAATAATTTCTTCAAGTATAGATTTCACTTGGGCTCTACATAATATACAGTATATATGATTTACTCTAGCTTTCACTTGGGTTCTACATAATATGTAGTATATGCCTCTTAGGTATAGGAATGTGCAAACATCTAAAAAGTTCTGAATTCTGAAACACATGTGGCCCCAAAGGGTTTGGATTAGGGGTTGAGGATATACAGTATTATGTTCTCTTGTAAGTACTTGATGTGCTTTTAAGTGCAGAGCCATGAGCTATAATTGTGGGCAGAGCTGGAGACAGCGGTTTGCAGGACTGAAGATCCACCAAGACTCCTAGCAATGTACCGAATTATTCAAAAATCTTTTCTGTTTGGTTTTGTAGTATGTTCTGGTTAGGTGCAATTTAGACTATTAGCCTTACGTTTGCAGTGCCTCAGTATGTCCCAGCTGATATGATGGGGGGGCAGGTAGCACTGTCTGAGGAGTGCACTTGCCTCTTGAGGGCTTCATTATCTTTCAGGTTGTTTTCTGTGTGTGCCCAATTGAGGCCTTTCTGTTCTTGTTGATCCTTTTTTCTTGAGGGTTTCATGAGCTTCTGCCTTCTGTCTATATCCTCCTTCTACCCTCCCAGCCTGTCCTAAAGCCCCATGACTGCAGAGTCCTATGCCCAGAGGTCATGAGATTTTAGGCTTCTAATTGAGTTCAGTAACACACAAGTAGGAGGCACCTCGGTGCAGAGCACTTGTGCATGCATTTTACTATTTCATCCTCACAGTATATTTGAATAAAGTAGGACAGGCATCATTCCTTGTTATATGATGGGAGTATTGGACCAGTGGGATCGGGTGACTTGCCAGAAGTTCCAGAGCCAGCAGTGGAGCTGTAATTTAGACCGTGGTTTAATTCACTCTCTTTCAAACTGCAGTGGAGGAGGAAACAGTGTACTGAACCCTCTTAAAAACTGAAGGAATCCGACCAATCACCTGTAGTAACAAGTGGGCATTGTTCATATCTTAGGCTAGAAAACCTGACTGGGGACCTCTGCATTTGTCACTTTCCCAGATTTTCAGAAAGTCAGAGGGTCTACCCTGAGCTCCAGGGAGATACGGGCTGGTGGGCTTCTACAAGAAGTCCTCCTGACTTTTGCCTCCTATCCCCAGGCTGCCTGTGTCTCCCTCACGTCCCTCCCTCAGGCCAGCAATGTTTGTGCCTCCAGCTGCTTCCATATGCTGCCAAGTAAGACCTCAGTCTTGGCAGTGGTTTCTGGGAGGCAGGTTTAAGAGGCTTATAAACCCGGAGGTGACCCAGGGCATCCTTCCCTCAGGGCCCTTATGACCTGGGAAGGTAGTCAGTGTCTGATCAGTGGCCAGAGACAACCCGGTCTGAAGGTGGAGAGGGTTGGGCTAGATCGTGTTGGGGGTCCGAGCCTCTTATTTTTAAGCTACTTCAGTTGCCAATGCAACCAGTAACCCTGTGCAGACTCAGATCTGTAGCCACTAGGGGGACCTTTTCTCCCACTGAACCCAAATATAACTGAGCAAAAATGCCCCATGTCTATCAATAGTTAATACCTGCCCTGAGCAAGGATGCCAAGTCTGGGTCATCTTCATTTGCTAAGCTTGGAGTTTAGGGAACAGGGCCAACTAAGCACCAATCTCCTCCCCTCACAAGTTTCAGAGAAATTAAACAAGGCATGAGAGTCTGATGGAGATTAAAATGAAAAATAAAGTGTGTTATAGAGAGGACCTTAAATATGCTGCCAATTGGTTTCGTTAATACTTGCCCACCAAGCTATCCCATTTGAGCCCCAGCAACAGTGGGACAGCCATAGGCTTCCCTACTGGGCCAGCCACACATTTCATGACAAAAAAGATGCATGTGTCCTAAAGACAGGCTGCTCAGAAAGGAGAGACTGCAGTAGTGGCTGAGAGGCATATGACAATTTCCTTCCATGTCTCGGACCTTTTGGATAATTCACATATGCACTCCCTCTGCTGGGGCTGAAAATGTTCTCCCATAGGCTTCCCTCCCGGGAATGTATGCAGTGGGGTGTCCGTTTTCCCCTGTCCCTATTTTTTTCTCTTAACATATTGGACTTGACGTTGATATTATGATCCGTGGAGCTACAGGTGTGACTACTTCTCTCAGCAGTTTTAACCCTGGTGCCACCATGTAAAACTACTTTCCAGGAATAAACATAGTTTTCTTGTGTATTCTCCAGGGACCATTACTTGGGGAGCCGTTTAGCTTTTCTCCCTAAATTTTACTTAGTTCCCACCAAGACCAAGGGGATGGAACATACTAAGGGCAGCATAGGTAGGACAATAATTGCTGTCATCCAGGCCTTTGTCAGATGTTGGTCTTAAGGGTGTCTGTCTTTTGGGAAGGATTATGGAGCTGCAGAAAAATAAAAGTTTCTTTGAACAAGGAACACTTTGGGTAGACCCAGACTTGCTGAATTTGAAGCTTCTGGTAAGACCTGGGGAAATAGTTCTCACTTGCAGAGAAAGCCACAGTAGCTGCTGTAACCAGCTAAGATTTTTTTTTTTTAAAGGGTTTTAGGTGGGACTCTAACCTAAACTATCCATGTAAGCTGAGCCAGAGGCCCCCATTTCTCCATATGGCCCCATAAGGACATGCCTTGTGACTGTTTCTCAAGGCAGACCCACTAAATAACCTCTGCTCTCTCCTCTTGAGTCTGATCCAATTAAGATGTAAGAAACAGGAACCCGACATCTAGAGATTAAACAATCAGCTGAGTGGAGAAGGGAACTGAAGTCTGCCGTGGGGTGGACTTGCACACAGATCGCTCTATCACTCCAGCCGTGTGAGTGCCCCACCCAGGTACAGGCGGGAGCAGGGGGAGGATGCTGGCCTCCTGACTGAGCTAGAAGGATGCTCTGGGGTCTCAGGGAGCCCCATTCTTGCCCCCCCCCCAACTTCCCGATGTTTCCTAGGACTGAAGCAAGGTGTTGGAGAGACATCAAGAGTGCCCCTCGTGAGAAGCAAAAGAGTTCTGCTCTCTGGAAAAAAAAGAACAAGCACGTGGTTTCCCCAAGTCTAGGATTAAGTTTAAAGTATTAAAAAAAATGAAAGGCCATTTTTTATTTTAAAAATACTTTTATACGACAGTGAAGAACTCCAATTTTTTTTTTTTTTTTTAAGTATAAGGCCCCATGTTCTGTCTTAATATTCTGGGCACCTGGCACAGGGCCTGGTAATTATTTGTTGCCTGAATGATATTTAGAACAATTTTTTTAATGCATAACCTAGTGGTTCCCAGATCTTTGGAAAAAGTAGGTCAGTAAAACAAAATGTAAAAGAACATGGGGCACCGAAAACGTTCTATTTTGCCATGTAAGGTTGTTCAATAATAAGTACTACCTCAAACATCAACACAATTTCATAAAGAAACAGTGTGGTTTAACATAAAAAAGATAGGGAGAAAAAAATTCTGGAATAAAGCATGAAAGCAGTATTGTGGCCTCAGTCGCACGCATGCATACATACCACCTAAATTGGGCTTATTTTTCTCATTTTGCAGGCAGCCAGGGGAAGCTTGGTCATGGTCTGGCACTGAAAAGCCCCAGTCTTCTGGAATGCTGCCCAGACTTGAGAGATGTCTTAAGGGCCACTTAGTGGTGTTCTCACTCTTTGCTGCTTGTTTTTTCCAAACAGAGCACTATCAGAAAAAATCGTCTCAGTCCTGCCAAGGATGAAGTGTCCACACCAGCTGGAGCCCCACCAGATCCAGGGCATGGATTTTATTCACATATTTCCTGTTGTCCAGGTGAGAGCCTCTCTGTGGTTTCTTGTCCCCTGCACATCAGGATTCCTGCAGCAGGTCTGGCTAGCAGGCCATCTGGCCTAGATCCTGGGTCTGACGGGTGTGGCATGGAGTTAGGGGAGCAGGGCAGGGTGATACTTCTGATGTCATTCTCAGAAGGTAGCCAGTATTCCATCCCTTGTACCCTGGTTCCACCGCCACCTGTTGTGATCTTTGAATGTTCCCATTAATTGGTTTTCATTGCCCTTTTGGTAAAGATAGAACTCCATAGCCCCCCATACTCTGGTCCTGTCCCAGCCTGACTTTACTCCTTGCTCTTCTTTATTCTTTCTGTTCTAGCCCCCCTCTGACTTTCTTTCCAATTTTCTCATACACATTATGCTTCCTCCTGTCACAGGGCCTTTCCCTCAGGCTGGAAAGCTCTTCTCTTTCTCTCATTTCCTACTTAATCCATATTCATCTTTCAGATTTCAGTTCTACCACATCTTCTCAGGAAAGCTTCTGTTGACCACCCGCCCCCCCCATCTAGAACAGTCTCCTTTGCTTTATCCATTCATACTGACCATGTTCCTTTCCTTTGTAGGAATTTTCCTTGCTATAGTTTGTCACCCTGTATATTTGTCTGGTCATTTCTGCCCCTCCTGTCAGACCATGAACTTCTTGGGGGCAGGCACCATAGCTGCCTTGCTCCCTCTAGTGTCTCCAGTACCTCGTGGAAAGTCTGGTACCATGTAGGCAGTTAGTCTTTACTTGATGACTGGATGTCTGGTGGGAGGTTATTTCCACACTGGCTGTTTTCCAGCACTTTGTGATTAAGTGGCTCATGCTGTTCAGCCCCGTACATCCTCGCAGTCTGGTGTCTCAGCCTCCTCTGGGCACTTTGAAAAGAGGAGGAGCAAAGGCCCTGCTGTGTGAACAGCGCTTTGCAAATGATCCTAATAGAGTTCTTTGAAGCATCTATTAGAATCCCAGTCCTTATATCTGAGGCAAGCGAGATGCAGAGAGTAACTGCTTTGCTCAAGGGCAGAGAACTGGTGTGCAAGGCAAGCAAGATTGTAGCCTAAACCCCTTGTCAGTGAACCTTATACTGTTCCCACTCTGCCATTCATGCAGCCCCTGCTTCAAGAGTCTCCCAGTCCTGCGTTAAGATTGTATAGCGCAGGGGTTGAGAGTGTGGACTCTGGAGACTTCCTGCGTTCAGATCTTGGCTCTGTCACTTAGCTGCGTGACCTTGGGCAAATGACTTAACTTTTCGTCTGTTAAATAGAAACAATAATAGTACCTACCTGACAGGATGAGACTTAAGTACGTTAATATGTAGAAAGCACTAAGCTGAAGGACCGGCACGTTTTAGTAAGTGCTTTATAAGTGTTATATAGTCGTTTCTGGTTTTGTTACTGTTATTGGGGATTTCCCCCTGCATTAGATGAAATTTTTAAATTGGAAGCCAAGACTTTAACTCAGAATTTTTTTTTTTTTTAAGATTTTATTTATTTCTTTGACAGAGAGAGACACAGCGAAAGGGGGAACACAAGCAGGAGGAGTGGGAGAGGGAGAAGCAGGCTTCCCACGGAGCAGGGAGCCCGATGCGGGGCTCGATCCCAGGACCCTGGGATCATGACCTGAGCCGAAGGCTGACGCTTAACGACTGAGCCACTCAGGCGCCCCTTAACTCAGAATTTGATTCATTATGTTCATTAGATTTTCTCTCTCTGATGCAGCAAGGTTGGTACCTGATCCTTTTTGTGAAAACAGGTAATAGGGACCCTGTGTTGCTTATAACTGAAACTTCCACCACCACCATGCTGTGAAGTTGTTGGCTTTTCCCCCAAAGCCTGAATCTCTAGGGATTAGACCTTACTCAGCCCTAGGCTAGAACTTTGAGAGCAAAAAATCTGGTCTCAGTAGGAGGTGATGAGAGGGAAGTGATTGTCGCTAGTTTGGGTATTTCGAACGTCTGAATGTTCCGTGTTGTACATGGAATGCTGGGGGGGGGCCTCCTGTCTGGATGTGAGAACCAAGGTTAGTAGTTCCCAGATTTCTTAATTACATGGATGTGTAAAATTTTAAAGCAAAAATGGAGGCTGACCCATGGTTGCCACCTGTATTTTGCCAGGTAAGAATATCTTTGAAAGTAACAACTGTCAAAACAAACAGAATCTTAAATACAGAGAACAAATTGCTGGTTGCCAGAGGAGAGGTGGATGGGGGATGGGCAAAACAGGTGAAGGGAATAGTAAAGAGATACAAACTTACAGTTTTAAACAGGTAACTCACAGACATGAAAAGTACAGCATAGGGAATATAGTCAATACTATTGTAGTAACATTGTGTGGTGACAGATGGTGACTGCATTTATGGTGATGAGTACTGAGTAATGTATAGAACTGTCAAATCACTATGTTGTACACCTGAAACTAATATAACATTGTATATCAATTATACTTCAATAAAGAAATTGTTTTAAGTAACAACTATCTCTGTCGTTTCCCAAAAGAAAGGCCTTTTAACCCCCAATCTCAGAATAAAGGACAGTCCTTTCAATGGAATACTATGAAAGTATTATGAGAAACTCACCACATGCTTGTAGTTTTTGCCTGTTTTGCTGGAGACCAGTGAAAGAGCAGTCATTGAGCTAGCTGTCTTGTGTGCCTCTAGAGGCTCACCACCTGTGTTCACACTGTTTAGCACAGCTTAAGAACACTCTGGATGCCAGCCCGGAGAAGAATGGGTCTAACTTCCGGCCCCGGTAGTTCTAGATCACATCTTTTTCTCCCATGCCTGACAGGTGAACCCCGTGAGGGTAGGTACTTTCCTCGAATGCTAAGGACCCGCGGCAGAGCTCGGCTATCCAAGAGGTTCCCTCCATAGCCCTTCACTCTAGGAACTCCAAAACAGTGACCAGTTCTCTGAATCCTAAGACTCCTTACCTTCCTCATCTCATCACACTCACCAGGATCCAGCCAAGTAACAATTCAGTGTAGATCTAATTCATGGAGGAACATCTGAAAAAGAAACTTTGAAAGTCCAAAAACTGGATCTCCCCATCCAAAGGAAAGTAGAGAGAAATTGAGTTGAGCAAGGAGTCAGCCTCCTTAGTTGTTCTGGGCCATGGTGCTGGGTCGGGGTGCGAGAGAGGGGCTACAGAAGCTCTGAATACTGTCTGATCTTCTGTCCCGACTTCTGGGTCATTGTTTGGAGGTGGGGTGGAGTGGACTGATGGAAATGAATGGAAGATACTAACAACAAAAGAATATTCCTCATAGAGTTATTTGCACCCACCCCCATCTTGGGCAGCTATGCCCTAAACATGTCCTTTACTTGAGCTGGCTGCCCTCTGCGAGTAAGCATTCTGTCTGTCTCTGCAGGAGCACCATGCCGTGTGCCACGTGTCTGCTTTCCTAGGTAGCTAAGCCTTGCCAAGTGCGCGGTGCTCATGGGGAAATACAACTACTGTCCACAAACTGCTTTCGAGATGTAGTAGCTCTCTCTGGACAGAGCATGGTGACTCTGACAGACGGCATCCCCCTCCCTAATGCTCTTCAGTTATAAAGGAAATGCATGAAGAGCCAGGGAGGAGAAACAGAGGCTGTGTTTCTGTATTTTGCATTCTTTCTCTCAGAGCACCTGGATCTTCCACAGGTTATGGGGGTGTGCCTATGTGTTGCCATTAACTGGAATTATAAGTAGGGAGCAATGAAGAAGAGCTAGTTCTGCGTATCAGCCCAGTAAAGCTGGAAAACATTTAATAAAACTCCTATGTCCAGTCTTCCGGTGTGGAAGAGCCTTTGGGTTGTGACTTGCAGCCTTGTTGTGCTTGCTACCTACGGAGCAGTGGACAGATTATGTAGTCTCTCTGAGCCTCAGGTCTGTACAACGTGGCTGGCACCAGTCACCTTATAATGTTGTGTGGATTAAGAGAGCAAATGCTGTGAGTGCCTGGCTCCCTTGAAGCCTAGGGCTGTGTACTCAGCAAGCCTGTTCTCAAATCTGAATACTTGGGGGAGGTTGTTGCAATCAAGGAGACAAGGGATTGTACTAGATGTTCTCTGAGGCTCTCTTCCCTTTCCCCAGTCTGTGGTGCAAGCAGCACAAGAAAGAGAGTAACGTTCAGATCTGCCACTAGAACCAGGTGTCTGTGTAACTATGTTTGTGTTTGCTTCAGGCATTTATAGAGCATTCTGGTCCTTGTGATTTCATTTGCTCCCATAGTAGCTCTGTGAGGTGAAAGAAATGATATTCTCACCTCTACACAGAGGGAAACTGAGGCCTGAGCATCCGATGTGAGGCTTTAAGGCTCCTCCACAGCCACTCTGCTCTAGATCCCATTGGATCTCAGCGTCTCAGACGCCCAACTGGCTGCTTTTCGCATAGGACAGTAGGTGCAGATAGTTTCTCATCATCTGGCCAGTTCAGGTATGGCTATTTGGGTTCACGAGTTGTACCATCCCTGAGTTGGCCTTTACCACAGTGGTGGTTCATCCCTACCCTCACATTTCCTAACTCTCTTTCCCAGTGGCTGGTGAAGCGAGCTATAGAAACAAAGGAAGAGATGGGTGACTACATCCGCTCCTACTCCATATCCCAGTTCCAGAAAACCTACAGTCTCCCTGAGGTCAGTATTCTCCTTTTCTTTTCTCATCCAACTGCGACCATATGTATACACTCAGAGACTCCCCAGGAAGGAGCAGAGTAAGCTCAGCCTCAGGCTCCTCTGTGTGATGTCTCTGCCCCTACTTGGGCAGCATCCTTGTTCGTCAGAACTGCCTCTTTAAATGGGCCCTGGGTGTAAAGCCCTGCAATTTTCTCCTTTTCTCTCAGTTTTAGTACTTGATTCAGAACTTTTATTAAATTATAAGAACATGAGTATTTTTTTTTAATAGTCATATAAAGCTTTTCAAGAGACCACCTAGGTCATTGCCTAGGGCATTCCTATGGTAACAGTTTAATAGTAACCACCCCCACCACAATAATAACAACAGATACTTACTACACTCAGTCCCAGCCCATCACATGCCTTCTCCTCTTTAATCTTCACAGCTGCTCTCTGACGTAGGTGGTGGTGTCCCCATTTACAGATGGTGAAACTGAGGCTTAGAGACTAGGTGGCTTGCCCAGGGTGTCAAGAGTTCATAAGGATTTGAACAAGAATGCTTGGCTTCACCAGTATACTTTGTGGTCCCTGCCTTTCTTACTGCTGTGGGATCTGTTTTGGAGCCATCTGCAGAGGCCCTAGCTTCTACCCATGTAGAATATATTCCAGTTCGTTAGAAGATTGAGGCTTCTGCAGGCAAAGCTATGATGAGAAATCAATTTGTAAGACAGGTTTCTGAGAAGTCCGGTTGAGTTTCAGTCTGCACACAGGGTTTGTTTAATCCCTGTGTTTTGTCTTGCAGGATGATGACTTCATAAAGAGAAAAGAAAAGGCCATCAAGACAGTTGTCGACCTTTCAGTAAGTTCCCCTGCCCCTGTGTAAGGGAAGGACATAAGTTCATAGCCTCCAGATAGCCCCGTGATTCAAATCCCAAAACCCTTACCCAGTCCCTCCTGCGATTGCCCAGGTGCTGACCTCAGGTGGGTGTGTGAGGGAAGCCCCTCCTGCCTCAGTGCCCGTACCTGGATGCCAGCATTTATGGGTAGAAAGTGGCATAACCACTACCTTGTGTTTCTCTTAGTTCCAGTTTTCCGGGAGAAATTTTCCAAACCCATAGCCTTTCCTCATCTGTGCCAGTGGCAGGTGTAAACTTTGAATAGCTCATCTTGAACTGGAGGTGTGGTAAATTGAGGTTAGCACCCCATGATGGCTCTGGAGAGGCAGAACAGCTCCTGAGCTTTGTGTGGGACACACTGGGATGGCCTTGGTCACTGATACAGTGAATCTTAACCATGGAGTCTGCATTCGTGTGCCCACTCCCCCTAGTGCAAGGGGCAGAGGAGAGCTTTTCAAACCTTTCTGGGCCAGAGCCCAGCAGAACCTTCTCAGTGCCACCCACCCCATCCCAGCCCCAGCCTTCCTACCTGAGCTGCTGGGAGTGAAGCCACAGTGCCTGGGGGTAAGTTCGCTTTCTTCCAGAAATAATGCGTAGTGTTATTTTGCATTTTCCCCCCTACTTTAAGAATACATGTGTGGTCTTTCAAGGTGATCACTCTAAAAAGAGTAACAATCATTTGATGACATGAAGTGCTCATTTTAAACAAGAAAAATCTTTGTCACTTTAGAGTTGTGATTTGTATTTTCTTCATAATTCCATTTTGGAAATGGAAGGAGTGGAAAACCTTCAAGATAGTTACATTCTGAAGCCAGATACTGTTCTCAGATACGGTGGCGGTATCAAATAATAATAACAGGACATGATATGACATCAGAGTAATTCTTTTTCCTCTGGTTATGAAATAGTTGTTCAGTTTAGGCATCTCTAAAGTTTTTTGGTTTTTTTTGAAGGTTGATAGATACAGAGGAAGAGAATCAACCTTAATCTCACAACAGAGAAGCAGTTTCTTTTGGTGCTTGGACATATTTCTTCCATTTTTTTTTTTTTAAGATTTTATTTATTTGTCAGAGAGTGAGAGAGAGGGAGCACAAGCGGGGGAAGTGGCAGAGAGAGAAGCAGACTCCCTGCTGAGCAGGGACCAGGATCATGACCTGAGCCAAAAGCAGACAAGTAACTAACTGAGCCACCCAGGCGTCCCTCTTCTATGTTTTTAATGTGCATTTTTATACCGAATTGGAGTCATACTTTAAATAAAACTGCAGTTTTTTTTTTAACTTATCACTATAGTGTCTTTGTAAGCTATTAAGGATTCCTCCTAACTACATTTGTCATGAAAAATATTAACCAGTTTGTTGGATATGTGGTTGCTTTCTCTTGTTTTAAATGATGCTTCATTTCTGGAAAGCTAGGAGAACCAAGTGATGGCATTACCTCTCATCCAGGGAATTGGGGAGCCCAGGGCAGGAGAGGAAGGGAAATTCTCTTTTCCCTGTAAAGGCTGTCCTATTTGAATGTTCTACCAAGTCTGTGTGTTACTTATTCAAAAACGGTAAACAAAAGTAAAATTTTCTAAATGCTTAATTGAATATCTTCTTGTGTAAATCTCACTCTGAGCCCTGGGTAGAGAGTGAGAAATAATGGTTTTCAGCCTTATCACCGGGAAGAAAAGGCCAGCGTAGCTATCAGTCATCCTATCAATGGAACTGGGCCTGGCATCTCCATACCCATTAAACATTTCAGGCCTCTAGAGACACATTCTTTCCTCTTATTTGTAATGGAGTTTTTAAAGAAAATCCTCCTCTTCTGCTTGGTAATGTGACTGCATACGATTAAGGAGGTAATGATAATGACAAATACCTGGTGCCCAGACATTGTTGTAAGCATTTATATATAACTTACCTAGTCCATACAACAATCTTCTGAAGTAGTAGTGTTTTCTTCCTTTTTTTACAGGTGAGGAAGCTCAAGCACAGATAGGTTATATAAGTTGCCCAAGGTCACGTTGGTGATGATGGAGTCAGGATGCAAACCCAGTCTTGTAACTACTATGCTGTGGGCCTCTAGATAAAATGCTGTTTACAGCTAATTCAGAAATAATATCAAGATAAAGGAAAATGGGAAAAATTTGCAAGTCTCTTGATAATAGCTCAGATTGCTCAGTCGATTTCCTTTTTTATGTATGAACTTACTCCTTAGTTGACTGTCAGTACATTTGTAGCAGGAATGATAAGAATTTTGATGGATGGCCAGAGCTGGCCTTTGGGTTTTATTTGTTTTCTTCTTACCCCTCACTCCCAGATGCTGTCTTCTTGGGATTCTTAGCTGAGCTCCATTACCATTCACTTCCCTCCCTCCCGCCCACCACTTCTGCAAGTGCTCTGTCACTTCCTTGCCTTGAAATGCGAGTTCCAGAAGCTTACTGAGACTCCAGGGTTGCAGTGCATGTCCCTAGCTTACCCTCGTGAGTCCTGGAAGGAATGGAACAGCGTGCTGGTTTTCATTCGTCGCCACTCTCCCCAAGGGAAATCTGTCCCGTAGTGAAGGGAATGAAGTCTTTCCTCAGCGACCAGAAGCTGTGGCTCTTTGTAGGTCTCGGGTTCTGAAGGCAGTTTCCCTCTCCTTCTACCCTTTTCCCAGCTCTGCCCTTCACATGCCTCATCAGTGTTTCTTACCTGCTCCTTATCGACGAATCTAGAATCCCAAACTTAAATTGTGAATGGTAACTTACAGACTCAAATAAGGTCACACAATAGGTGCCTAATTTCTGGACCCGGCCTTTTGTAATATGTGTCTGTAGCTGCCGCGTACTGATTGAGGGCCTTCTGTGTGTTTGGCACCTAATTAGGCATTTCACAAGCATCGTCTCATTAGCGCTTCTCCAACACTCAGCGAGAAATATTATTATTTCTGTTTTATAAATCAGAAAGTTGAAGCCAGAAAGGTTAACAAATTACCTCCATATTTGCAGAATAGGAAGAGGCAGCCAGATTTTGGTTTTACATCAGACCCCTCAAACATGACAGGTGTGGTGCTCCTCCCATTTCCTCTCTTCACCTGGACTCTGATTTCCCACATACTGCTGGCACCAGTTTTATAGCAATGATCCTGGCTTATTTCAAGACTCTTGAGATGTTACTCATCTAGGTCCCAGAGGCTCAGAGGCGTCCAGAGCGGCTAGGTGCTCTCCCACCACCTCGTCAGTCCTCTGCGGGCTTGTTTACTGTGACTTTTCCACTTGAAGATCCTTTGTCCAGCTAGAGAATGTCTGCCAAGTGGAGACAATCCTGTTGTCTTTCTTCATCTATGAACATAATACCAGCAGGCTTTTACTTATTCTTGCTTAGATATAACCTCTTGTTAAAAAATAAATATTAAACATTTTAATATTTTTCAAAATATTTAACTCATTCTTATCCTTAGCCCTCCTTATAGGACTGTTCCAGTCTTTTGTACTTGTCCTTGGTTATGTAGCCCAGCCATTTTTTGGTGCATCATTTTTTTTTTAAAAAAAGCTTATATTTATTTTGTACTAGTACCTTAGTAATAGTAACAAAAAATGAAGAAATGGGGAAAAATTACAAAGACTAAGTCACTGTGATACCATCAGCCAGGGATAATTACTGATATATATTCCAAGTAGGAAATACAAAGTTAGGGATATCAATACAGAGAATTAGAGATCCCTAAATATGGCATTATACTGTATATTCTGTTTTATTTTTTGTTCAACAATATAATTGACGCTGTCTTTCCATGCCAATAATACCTCTATAGCCTTTTTACGGGCTGTAGATTATTCATTGTGTGGTATTAATTTAACTAGGTCACTTTGTTGTTTTTTTTTTCTTTTTTCCATTATGTAGGACATTCTTATAGCTAAGTTTTTCCTTTGATCTTTATGTACTTAGGAAACATTGGATGAAATGGAATTGGGTCAGAGGTTATGCCTAAGACTGTTAGTACCTTTTGGCAGATTGCCAGGCAGAAAGGCTGCTGTGAACTTGAATTTCTGCACTCATCACTTTGGGGTTTTCTCTCTTTGTCTTGGCCTCATTTTTCTTCCTCTTGGGGATTATTCCCAGTACTTTGCTTTCTTCTTGAAATGTGTTACTTCTTGGCTTCTCCATACCTCCTTTTTACAGAATAGCCAGCTGCTTTGTAGAAGGGTGATGGGAGGTGTATTTTCAAAGCACATAAGAAATAAAACTCTTGCCATGCAGGACAGGTCACCCCTTACCACCTTTTCCTTTTCGTGTCATAACAGTCGCTCATTCGTCACTTAGCGTGCTGTTTTACAGCTTACTTCCTCCTCGTCTGAGCCGTCAGCCCTCGTATCCCTCAAGTATCCATTCTGTGCAGTGAGGTCTGTTACTCCCTGTTAACCTGGACTAAGAGTACCTGTCAAATTTTACCCGAAGCTCCAAAAAGTAATTGTTTATTCATTGAACATTTTTTGGTAATGTTTAGAATTTTGTATAAGAATAGAGGGGGGGAAGGACTCTTAGAACTTCCAGTTTAGTTGAAAGAAATGTTTTGCAGAACTTAATAGGATCACCTAGGAGACCATGTCATTTGAAGTTATTACTCCAGTGTGTTCTTCCACAGGAAATGCTATGAGGAATGCCTTTTCATTCAGCACATAAAATATAAATGTGGCTACATACATAAAACAATGTTAGTACATTTTGTCAATGATAATATATATACATATGTATATTAAAAATATATATCTTACAAGCAAAGGGTATATATATATATCTTTACAAGCAAAAGGCTCAGTCGGTTAAGCGTCTGACTCTTGATTTAGGCTCAGAGATTCTTCTCTCCCTCTCCTCTGCCCCTCCCCCCAAAAAAGTATAGCTATCTATCTATCCTAGATATATATATCTCTTAGCTTAGATATATATTATCTAACTTAGCTCTTACTATGTGTCAGATACTATGAAATAATTAATCCTCACAATAACTCTACTTGTATCTTTCTTAGAGATGGAAAATCACAGAGGTTAAAGTAACTTGCCCCACGTCAGACAGGTAGTAGGTTATGGGGTTAGGACTAAAAGCTTGTTTGTCCACGTATTCATTCAGTAATATTAGTTGCACACTCACTGTGTATCAGATTGCGCTGTAGGAGGTGAGGTAAAAGCAGTAAAGGAATCAAGGGAATTTGGGGTCTCATCAAGGAAAAAGATACGACCATGAGGGGGCAAGCAGCACACATAAGCTTTATTGGAGTGATGCTTTGGCAGGTTTGCTTGTAAGATGGGGCAGTCAGTCCCTCACAGCAAGCCACCGTCCAGAGTTCAAGGCACCAGGGCTGCATCCAGAAGGGGAGGGGAGCAAGGGGACCCCCTAGGGGGTCATGGAGATTGTCCATGAGACTGCCACGTCACGCAGCAACGCACAGAGGAACTCTAGTCAGAGGTCTCTGAAAGAGATCTGCAGCAGCAGTTTTGGGTCTTTACAGTCCCAGGGCTTATCCTATCTGTGGTTAGCAAACGCAGTTTTGTAGAGTATGCAACATAGGCTGTAAGAGGCTAAACATCTGCCTCTTTGGGCCATGTTCGAAACAATTGGATGTGTAAAAATTTGAGTTTGGCCCTGGCGTGCTTTTGAGCCATTAGGTCTCAGCCTGCTGTGAGGAAATAAACCTAAGAGCCAACGTGCAGAAGCCATCTTTGGCTCCTTTACTTAATACAGTGACCTTAGTCTTACCAGCAAATTATACTGTTCGAATCAAGGAACCCTGCGGTGGGATGTGTGCCGGTCCTGAAGGAGCAGAGCAGGGCTCATGTGAAAGAAAATAGAAAAGTAACAAAGTCTGGAGAAAACTCTGCCTCCCCAACTCACCCTCCTCCCTGCAGACCTGTTCCTCTCTCCAGAAATAGTAGCCATCCATTGGTCTTCCACTTCCCTCACTTAGTACCCAGGGGCTTTGTTTCGTTTGTTGTTTTATTAGCGTGAGAATGGGGAAAAAAAAAAAAGAACAAGCAAATATATTTGTCCCAATTATAATAACTTTTTTGTACAGGATCTTTCAGGACATTGGTCTTGATGGTGGAGACATCTGTGGAGCCCCGTTAGGTGAGACAGAGTTAGTTCGTGGGGCTCCTGGACTGAGGCATGTCTGTGAGGGTTGAGCCCTGAGAGAATGTGTTGAGGTCAGTGGAGGCAAGTCAGGGGAATGTCACTCCCTGCCGACCTGGGTGTGGCCTGGCCCACTGGAGCTCTTAACCAGAGAATGCCAAGTTGATGGTGGCTGTCTCACTGCCTGCTCATTATTTCAGAAAGGAGATACCCGCCGTAATTGTGATTAATCTTTGCTGCAGACGCTGCCCTGATGTTGTGCTCTCCCACTTCCCTCCCCTGCCATTTGAAATGTGACTCAGGAATTCTCCTAACTGGTGTCCTGTAGCCAGACCTGTAAGGTAGAAATCTGTGACTCTCACACCCTGCTCATGTGTCCTTTAGCACAGAGAACAAGAGCCTGTTCAAGGGCTATTGGTCTAGCCCTGGTTTTACAGAGACGGAAACAGGCCCATTGAAGGGAATTCCCGAGGTCACAGAGCTAGTAAATGACAGAGACCAGACTAGACATCAGTGGTTCTGACACTGTTGCTTTAAAGCGTGACTTAGCAGTAGTTCTTTAAGTTGGCCTGAAAGCCTCTGACATTTAGGTCCTTGTTATTTAAGCAAACCACTGTAATGATCCATGTGGCAGCCTCAGGTATGTGGCGGTCTCGTGAGAGGACTCACTTGAGATGGCTGGAGGGTGGCGGGAATGCCCACCAGAAGCAAGTGAGGGTATTGGAAAAACCCTGGGACTAGCAGCCAGGGGACCCAGGGCCAGGCCTAATACTATTTTAGAGATCCTGGACAAATTAATTTAATCTCTGCTTCTTCAGCAGTGGAGTGGGGGTAACAGCATCTGCCCTGTCTCTACCTCTGGGAACAGTTATAAAATGCAAAGGTGAGGTGTATATGAGGTGCTTTCAAGTGTAAGGAATAACTACACAAAGGCCAACATTGTCACTGTTTCCCAGAATAAAAGGTCCTTGTAGCTGTTGGTTTCAGTATGCTATTGTTTTGGAGTCAGTCCTTTTTTTAGAAGAATCCAATTTCCTGTCTTGGGTCATTGACTCTATCAGTGGTAACTAAGGAAGATAGCAGTTAAGCTCAATTATATAGTGCTGCTATAATAGTAGAGCTCAGTGAGAATTAAATCATATGCAGTAACTGATGTCATGTGGATTCATTATATGTTGCATTTCCCCATGAATCTGTTTTACATTATTTATAGCTTCCTATTCATGTAGACACCAGCAGCAAACTAGGAATTCTTTCTGGCAGCAGGTCATAAGAACAACACTCCAGCATCATCCCAGACCCTAGTCCATTCCTTTTCTTTTACAGAATTGTTAAAATTACATAGTATGTGTTACAAAAGGATGTTTTTCTCTATGTTTGAAACTTTTTGTAATAAAAAGTAAAATAATAGGGCGCCTGGGTGGCTCAGTTGGTTAAGCAACTGCCTTCGGCTCGGGTCATGATCCTGGAGTCCCGGGATCGAGTCCCACATCAGGCTTCCTGCTCAGCAGGGAGTCTGCTTCTCCCTCTGACCCTCTTCCCTCTCATGCTTTCTATCTCTCATTCTGTCTCTGAAATAAATAAATAAAATCTTAAAAAAAAAAAAAGTAAAATAATAAAGTTAACAAGAATTATCAAGGGAGGTACAATTCTACTTGGAATAAAAATACTACTATCTGAAGAAACCTGATAGTAGTGCTTGTCCTAGTGATGTCCAGGTAGAGGTTAGTTGTGATGAACTCTGGTCGTGGAGAAGAAAAGATCCAGGGATGAACAACTGGAATACCTCCCTTGAATAAATATTTGCCTACTTGCACCCAGAGCCCTGAACACATTTTACTAAGATATTATTTGACTGCCAGCTCGACACTCAAGAAGGACATTCATTTGGAGCGGGATGCTAAATCAGGTCATCTAGGGGTAAAGAACTACATTAATTGAGCACCTACTACATGCCACGTACTTTGTTCAAGAAATACTATGTTTCAGAATGTGTCCTATACAAAATAGATCTGTGTTTGCTTCTACATTTATAATTAAATCACACTCCAGTAATTTTAAAAGTCAGTGAAAGTTGATAGAGCATTTTGTGTTTTTATATACTTTTTTTTTTTTTTTTTTTAATAAACCTCAGCCTGGTACTTTTGTAAAAAAGATACTATTGCTGAAGGGTTTGTATCTACTCTTCTTTTCTGCTATTAGAGTCTAGGAATTGAAATCTCCTTTACCATTTAAGGAATTTTTTTTAAGGATCCTGGGTTAACCTATACACCTGTGATTGTTTAACTGGTTTATGGCCCTGGGTGGTAGAAAGGTCTGGATATGCAGTGACAAGAAAATTTGTATTTTTTTCTGGAAAATTTTATTAAGGAATAAAAAAATCTGAATAGAGAGATAGTCTTTGCTTCACAAGGCAAGATTCAATATTATAAATATGCCAGTTCTTTCCAAAATAATCTATAAATTTGGTGTGATTCTAATCAGAACTCAACAGTTATTTATTATGAACCTGACAAGTTGATGCTACAATTCATTTGAACGAGAGAATGTTTAACAATAGCCAGGAAATTTGAAAAAGAACAGTGGAGACAGGATAAAGGTCCATAAAGCAAGAGAAATTGAAGAGGGTAACATTGGTACCTGTTACACATGTATGCCATTTCAGATCTGGGGAAGGCTGGACTATTAAACTGATGATGTTGGGATTCTTAATTTTCCATTTCAGGAAAAAAAGCTTCTGAATAGATTAAAAAGCTAAGTACAACCTATACAAGTAACATACAAGAACTTTTTTTTTTTTTTTTACAATCCCTGGTAATAAGAAGTAAGATATAAAATGGTAAGTTTGACCACGTAAAATATTAAAATGCCATAGGACAAAAGAAACACCAAGGGGGCGCCTGGGTGGCTCAGTCAGTTGAGGGTCTGACTCTTGGTTTCTGCTCAGGTCATGATGTCAGGGTCATGGGATTGAGCCTTGCGTTGGTCTCCATGCTCAGCGGGGAGTCTGCTTGGGGATTCTCTCTCTCCCTTTCCCTCTGCCCCTCCCCCCACGCTCGCTCGCTCTCTCCCTCTCTCTAAAAATAAGTGAATAAATCTTAAAAAAAAAAAAAAAAGAAACACCAAGTTAAAGTTGACAAGCAATATCTTGAGTGGAAATATTTGCTACCTATATGAATGTCAAAGGAGCAAACTCCTTGAAGGTGGCCGCCCTGAGTGCCCACTGTTCTCCTGCGGGAGGTGGGCACACTCACCATGATGGGGAAAGACTTGCTCCCCTGACTGGCTGGATGCACCCAGCAGGCAGTTCAGAAGGAGAGTGTTCTCACACTCAGTAAGTCATCTGTCTCATCCACTTCTTAGGATGTTTACAAGCCCCGTCGGAAATACAAACGCCAACAGGGAGCAGAAGAGCTGCTCGATGAAGAATCTCGAGTCCATGCCACGCTTTTGGAATATGGCAGGTAATGAAGGGGACCCAGCCTGAGGTGTCTATTTTATAAAACCCTTGAGAAGAAAAGCTGATTTGGATTGCTTCATTGAGATTAATTTGGATTGTTTGTTTGTTTGTTTTTTTGACCTGACTGAGTTTACTGTTTTTGGCCCGAGATTTCCATCACCAGGGACTTTTCTCTCTGGGTAGCTTCCCTCATGATGGTGGAGGCCTGATCTTTGCAGTTGCCCTCCGGAAATGTGTGTGTAACTGTGCACCCTGGCTCTGCCCTCCTGGGGAGTTGGGGTGTTTGGGGGTATTTGCAGAGGCCAGGAGTGGTCTGCCCTTCATGCCCCTGCCATTCGTTAAAATCTTCAGGGAAAACTACAGAATCGAAAACAATTACCGTGGTTCTAAGTGTTAGAGTAATAGTTTTGGTTTCCCGTGAGGGATTGTCCTGAGCAGGAAGATGAAGAATTTAGAAATATTTTGTCACTTCTTAATAACTTCCTAATTTTTTAAAAAGCCATTTTATCTTTTATCCTCATTTTTTACTTAAAAAGCACACAAAGAAGTGCTGCCCTCATTGAATTTCTTGGTTGACCTTGGGTATTAACCTTCATTTATGTCCTGCGTTTTCTACATAGGATAACTGATTCCTGGATGTGAGTATGGCTCCTTGTGCTTCCTTTCTTTATCCTGGGAGTGGTTGCTGTATGCTGCTCTGCCTCATACCCCAGCCCTCTTTGGGCGGCTGGGACTAACAGCTCGCCTCCCCAAGTGAGCATCTGAAGGCTTACCCCCTCTGAGGCACCAGACACAACCGGAAGGAAGTTAGGCTTTATTGGCTTCAATACCTTATCTTTCAAATGGAAAAAATTTCCCCAAAAAGTTGACACTTTTTTTTTTTTCTTTTTCTTGTTGAGGGGCTTGTGTGGTGTCAGGTCCGTCCTTCCTAAGAATGAAAGCGAGTCTGTTTCATTCAGAGGAAGGTGTTAGTGCTGGCTCTCAGCCGGGTCTGATGGCTGCTCCACAGCTCCCCAGTCACGGCTGTGAATTGAACTCCTCTTCGGAGTCAGGCACCACCAGACCATCTACATAAGTTATGGGGCCCGGGATAAAATAAGAATTACTAGGAATGACTAATTATTAAGAATTTCAAGGGGCACCTGGGTGGCTCAGTCATTAAGCGTCTGCCTTCGGCTCAGGTCATGATCCCAGGGTCCTGGGATCGAGCCCCGCATCGGGCTCCTGCTTGGCGGGGAGCCTGCTTCTCCCTCTCCCACTCCCCCTGCTTGTGTTCCCTGTTTCACTGTGTCTCTCTCTGACAAATAAATTAAAATCTTAAAAAAAAAAAAAAAAAAAAAAAAGAATTTCAAGACAGCAAGAAAAGCCAGGTGTGGGGCCCTTCTGAGTTGTATTCCCTGGGCACTGCAACAGGGTTTTCCAGCCAAGCCCCAGCTGTAGGTGGGCCAGTGAGGCCACACTGCTCCGGGTGAGCCACAGCTGGAGAGACAACATCCCTGGGTGTCCCATGTTCCAGGGCCAAAGAATCCTCAGGGGAGTGTTGTGGTTTTCTTAGTTTGTATTGTTCATACCTCCATTTTTTGTCCATTGTCATGGATACTCAGACACTCCTGGGGGTGAAAAGGAGTCAGAGATTCGGTGAATTGTCCACCTCACCGAGACCAGGCTGATAATATTTCCCTATTTTGTTTTGAAATTCTCAGTTTTAAACTGCGTGTGTCGTAGAGGATAGTCATTATTGTCATGTGATGGCCGGGTCACTTCAGGACGCCCCTGCCCATCCTCAGGAGTGGTTGGTGCGGTTGGAGTCCAGAGCCTGGCGGGGCTTTCTTTAGGGAAGGGAGCAGTGCACAGGTTTTCTTTGTGACTCCTCTCAGATTTGGAGTGTACGAAAGAGCAGAGTGTGTCGACCTCAATCTTGGTTCCTGTTGGTGGGGTCAGGCTGATTTCTGCTGAGTTCCAAGCGTAGGGTAGGTGTTCAATGAAGCATTTTGTTTTTTTTAGGAGAGAGGTTATTTTACTCTCTTTATAGCTTTCCTGATGGGGAGAGGCTGAGTTTGTGGGAAGTGGGGAAGTGGATACTTAGGACATTCTGATGGTTTAATTAGCTCAACTCTCTTCTTTGAGAATGGTAAAGACAGCATGAGAAATTTTAAAAAGTAACTTGCCCAAAGTCAACTATTAACTACTCTTAAGAATTATTAGGAGCCTCACACTGGGACTTGAACTCAGGTTTGTTGGACCCTCATAGCGTGCTTTTATCATTAGCTCCAGGTATTGTTTGAGTCTCCAGGGGAAGTTTGGCTCCTGGTTTTAGAAACACAGGCCCAGTCTCTGTTGTTTGGTCTGACACAGAGCAAGAAGAGAGCGGTCATTAAAACTGATGGAGCAAATTGGACAAAACTTGCAGCCCCAGCAAGCGTTCATTTCATTTCCCCTCCTTTGTGGCCATCAGACTTTCTCCTCAGCGTTCAGTCAGTACTGTCCCCTGGACAAATGGTCTTGCCCATTAAATTAGGATCACGTAGCAATACACACATGAAGAGCTCTGAGTAGTTTGTCCTGTGCAGAAAACAGTAAACGTCGACTGCTAGGCGCTGTCAGCAGCAGCAGCAGCAGCAACAGTTTTCAGTTCTCACATGCCCTTCAATGGGACCTGTAGATTCAAATGCACCTCTTCTTTTACTTCTCCTTGTCCCTCTGGTCTGCACCCCTAGCACTAGCCCTGCCCGCCCTGCGAGAAGCGTCACCCGCTCTTCCCCCTTCCCTTCCCCAGCCAAGCCAGGCTGGGCCTCCACTGGCCCTGGGACTCACCCTCCTCCATCCTGTCTCTCCCATCACTGTGAACATCATGGCGCCCCTGAATTGCTCATCCCCACCTAGGAATCCACATCCCCCATCTCTTGTCAGTGCCTCCGGTTTCCTGTCTATCTCACCTCTTGATAAGAGGGCAAGTATTTTGACTCCTGGAGTAAGAAGGTCTGAAACTCTTTGGGGTTGAAGGTTACTCATTAGCCTAGGCCCATCGTGCATCTGGCTTTGAGGTCAGCATTCCTGCATCTTCCACCTTTTTTGACTTACTTGCTGAAAGGAAGTTGGACTTTGAGCCCCGTCAGCCGTGCTGAAGGCCTTAAGGTCTATGTGTGCCTGTTCATGTTTGGATAGATTGGTTTAAGTGTTATGGTATTGGAAAAACAAGACTCATGGTTTTGATTTTAGACTTAAACAAAGTTGCACGTCTATCATATTTCAGTTTTGGTATGGGTCCAGTCAGCTTTTAGGAGCTAAATTAAAACACCTAGCCATGCTATAAAATTGCTGCTGTGGAGAAATGCATTTTAAATGTGGTATATTTGACTTTGTTAAAAACCATAATTCAACCGAGTACATTTGACGATCTAATTGGCTTTATTAAGTGATTCATGAATTCAGCAGCCTTCCATGTAGCAATTAAAGATGAGCTCCCAGGAGCTGTACAAAATGGAAGTTTTTTATAGGAAGGAGGGTATGGTAAAAAGTTATTAACAAAAGAAAACAAAGGATTGTTTCAGGCAAGGTCACCTTCCTTTAGGGGGAAGAGATGGGGGCTTATGAGGTGATTACCTCATCTTCCTTTGGAGGATGGAGAGGGCCCTTGTGACAGATTACCTCTTTGGTGCTGACCAGAAAATTCCAGATTGATTAGCTTGAAATTCCACTCCTGGAGAGGTCGACACTGCAATTGAGTCTTGGTTTGCTATCACAGGGGCAAGTGACTGTACCTTGGGCCTGTGGCTTTCTCTAACAACTTGGAGGTGGAATTTTGAAGCATAACCACTAGACTACTGGCATTAGCCTATTCCACACTATTTGAGGCCTAATTTTAGTTGCTTTGAAGTCATTCTGTACTTAGTAAATGAAATATGACATGACTCTCCCAACCTGTTTGTATCCTCTGCGATGGCAAGGCCTGTGTCATGCTTATAGAAGGTATTAATAAATTAGGAAATGCTTGTGGAATGAACGAAGAACAGAGTCCACAGTCCTTGGTATTTAGGGCTTTTTTATGCCCCTGTAGTGTTCAGGATTCCAGATAATTTGATATCTGACTTAATTTGCCCTGTGGCAGTTGTTTTTGAAGGTTAGTTTATTTTCTAGAATTACCAATACGGTAGTATTAGCCATATGTGGCCGTTGAGCACTTGAAGTATGACCAGTGTGACTCAAGAACAGAATTTTAATTTTAATTAAGTTACATTTAAAAAATTTATTAAGTTACATTAAAAAAATTAAAGACTCATGCTTGATTTAGTTATTGGAGAAAAGTTTAAGTTTGAAATAACTTGAATATGTAAACCTACTAATTTAAAGTTATCTCTTTGGCTCTTAACATTTTTTTTTTCAGACTGTGCTGTTCTAGAAGATGTACATCCTTGATGTTAAAGATCAAGTGTGAGGTGTAGGATATGAGGAAGTAAAGGGGGGGTAAGAAGCCAGAGTTCGGTCGGTGCTGACAGCGTAGGACATCAGCAGGGCTGGTAGGTCAGAGCTAACACAGGGAAAGGTGGAAACAGATTAAAGCTCCTGGCAGCTCCTGGCAGCACCGATCAGGCTGGCACTTGTGAGGAAAGGGCAGGGCAGACAGGGCAACAGGAGAGGGAGGCGGGAGGGTAGAGCAGCATACCTGTGAAAGATAAAGGAGAAGTAAATGCTTTGTAGTAGAAATAAGTTGAAGCATCCCCTTGTTCTTTGTGAGGGATGATAGGCCAAACAACATGGAGGTCTCCCAGAGACATCTTGACCAGTGAACATAATGAGGCAGGCATTAATAGGCGACCGAGGACAGCTCTTTGTCATGGAAGCCTTCTCATCATGTCACATAGCGAAGGAGGCCTTCAGAAAAATCAGATGGACTCTACTCATTCAGCATACATTTATTGAGTACCTACTGTGTGCCAAGCGCTGTCCTAGGTGCTGGGGATACAAAAGCAAATGGAGCTGTCTGAAACATGCTAAGTGAAGAAGTCAATTATAGACGGCCATCTAAGATCCTGTAAATATGTTATGTCCAGAATAGGCAAATCCATCAAATGACAGAAAACCAATGAGTAGTAGCCAGGGACCGGAGGGGGGGAATTGGGACTCACCGCTGATAGGTATGGCGTTTCTCTCTGGAGTGATGGAACTGTTCTGGAATTAGATAGTGGTGATGGTTGAACAAATAGCAAATCCACTAAGAACCATTGGAGTATATCGTTTCAAATGGTAAATTTTATGTGATACGAGTCATATCTCAGTTTAAAAAACGATAAAAAAAAAAAAATGAGTGAAGCACTCCCTCCAGGAGCACAACAGACAGATTTATAGGATTCGAGGTAATTATTGTAGCCTGTGGGATGAGCGCACTGATTCGTAACTTAGACCTTTGGGTGGTCAGAAGGGTCTTCCCACAACCTGTGTCTTTACAAAGGAGTAGAAGGGGCAGTAACTGAGTCACTCACATTTAGTTGTTTACTGCTTTATTTGGAAAATCCAGAAAGTTTTGGGTCCTTAGATGAGGGCTCTCTGCCTGAGGGTATGTCATCTGCCCTGAGGGTCTCCACAGACTAAACACCTGGAAAACGAAGGAACACCCAAGGCGCAAGGTTACTTCTAGGAGTGGGGAACTGTGGTGAGACCCTCTGTTGGTCAGGGTTCTGACCAACCAGGGTTCCTCCAGCTAGTTTCAGCAACAGTGGTTGACTCCATGGATCCTTGGGAAGGTTTGAGAGGTGGGATCCAGGCTGAACCGGGGTCACTTCCCAGGCAGCACATCGGAACCGAGCCTCCCAAGGATGCTGCTTCTGCCTCCACCGTGGGGCGGCCAGCTGGTGGCCTGTGGGGTGGGGATGCCGGCCTCACGGCTGCTGACAAACAAACCACGCCACCTTGGCCCAGATCAGGATGCTGCCACCACAGCTGCTGGCCCCAGAACCAGGTCACCTCTGTGATCCACAGCAGCACAACACACCTCTGTGCTCAGCTGGCTACTGCACATTCACATCGCCAGGAAGTGCACCTGATTGGTGGGGCCTGCGTTGCATCCCAAGCCCTGGGTGCAAGGGAGTAGAGAAAATAGAGTCTTTGGGGTGCCTGGGTGGCTCAGTCAGTTAAGCGTCCGACTCTTGATTTTGGCTCAGGTCATGATCTCAGGGTCCTGAGATGGAGCCCTGCGTCAGGCTCCGCATTCAGAGTGGAGCCTGCTAGAGATTCTCTCTCCCTCTCCCTCTGCCCTCCTCTCCCCCCACAAAAAAAAAAAAAAAGAAAAAGAAAATAGAATCTTTTGTTTCCCAGCCTCTGTAGTATAGGAAGATGCAGTAGACATTGTGAAACTAATGCACAGAATCTGTCCTAAGGTCCTTTAGAAACTGTGTGTGGACACTCCGAATTTACCTTTAGTCGGCTGCACTTCATACCTGGACATTTATGCTGAATGAATGGGCACACTGCCCGGGCGGGACTCTGTGGTCTCTCCAGTTATATGACAGCATACCGCAAGGCTAGGTGATGCTTTGGCTTCTTGATTCCTGCATGTTCTTCCACTTCTGTTGAGCTTATTTGTTCAACATACGTTAGAAATACAAAATATAAAAAAAGTAGCTCTCATGCCCTCTGGGAAGAGGGTGCAGACAGGCACACAGACCGTTGGACGTGACCGCCATCTGGGAGGTGGGGGGAACACGTGCAGAAGAGGTGGCTTGAGAGCTGAGGTGTGGGCGCGTATGGGAAGTAGGAGAACAGCACGGCATGGGCACAGCTCTCTGTTGGGCAGCGGATGCACAGGAGCTTGTCAGGTGAGGAGGTGAGGCTAGGAGGTTGCTAGGCAGAGCCATAGAAGGGAAGCCCTGATGAAGGTGCCCCAGAGGGAGGAGGCCCTCCACTGATGCGTGCAGACGAGGCCACTGGGAAGCTGGAGAGGGAGTGAGGAGGAGTGGGAGTGCAGTAAGGCTGGGGACCAGCACACCAGCCCAGTGGGTGAGGCATGGCGTGAGCGAGGGTAGAGTCCTTCATTTGCTTTTCTTAAATGGCCGCATGTACCTTTGTCTCTTTAGAAACTACTTGAAGGTAAGTGAGGTGTGGTGTTTGGCATCATGCTTTTTGTTTTAGGTCGAATGGGTTTTGCATTGTTACACTTGCTTTAAAAAAAAAAAGAACCTAAAAAATAAACTAATTTAAACTAAAGTGCATTTGTGAGTTTCTTTGAATTTAAGGTTGCCTGAAGTGAACACATAACATTGTTGGCATCATGCTTGGGCTGCGTCTGAGAATGGAAAACGGGCCGGACTCCAGGTTCTGAACATAACCATTAGAGAGCATCCTTAGCCCGAACAAATACACTCACATTTGTTTATGCAGAAAGTTTTAAGCCTTTTAGCTTAAACTTTGGGCCTGAAATACAGCTCCTGATTCAAAGAGTAATGGTTGCAGTTAAAGAGAATATTGCACTCTGTGCCCTCTGAGAGTTCCCATTTATAGTATTCATGTGGCAAATAGAATGGCTGACCCTTTATTCAAAAACAGTGGAATATGTCTGTGGTTCAGGCACTTAAAACATTTTCTCCAGTTACCATATGGTCTAAATTTTCTTTGGTGCTTTTCATATAAAAATCCAACCAAAATGCATTGACCCCAAATTTGTGTGACTTTTGAATAGTAATTGATCTCCCCTTTTTTTGTGGCCTGCAGGAGATACGGATTTAGCCGCCAGAGCAAAACAGAGAAGGTAAGAAAAGCAAGGATAACGGGAGAGAACATTGGAGAGATGGAAGCGCCCCTCCCCTTGGCCTCTGTCTGACCCTGATGGGCCACCTGCCTAGCAAGAGTGGGGGGGATGGCACTGCGGCGCACCGGGCTCCGGTCCCTGAGCAACCCCGGGGCAGCGGGGATGTGGCAGCTACCTTGGGCCCCTGGATCTCCCTCGTAGCTGCGGCATGCTACCTTTGCAGGCCAGAGAGCTGAAGCAGCAGCCTTATGGAAGGGCTAGAAGTGAAAGGTGATGGGAATCATGGCCCCAGGGCCAACCAGGTGGGCTCTCCTAACTCCAGAGGTGTGAAGATGAAGTCCGCTTCAGGGCCCTGAGCGCTGCCCCCTTGATGAGGGAGACCCTAGACAGGTGTGAGCAGGGTGCTGCCAGTGACATAGAACACAGCCATATATTGCAGGCCTGCCCTAAGACAACCTAGGGTGGAAAACTCAGGTAAGTCAAGATGGGGTTTTTCACTTCACAGAGCAGTCTCAGAAATTTCCCTTAATTTATATACTTATTGATGACCCTTAATTTTGTCAGCTGCAGGGCAGTCATGTAAATATTACAGTGCCAAACCCTTACTGTGTCTCAGCCCCTTTGTTCAGGGCTCTGCATGTTTTTTTTTTTTTTTTTCCACTTCTCTGAAAAACTCTATGAAGAAGGCAGTATCTTTTTTCAGAAAAGCCGAGGTCAGAAAGTTGCGAGGCTCAGGGAGGCTCCGGGATTTGTCCAAGATCACGTAAGCCCTTAAAGTGCCATAATAAGAATCTGAACCCAGGTCTGTGTGACATCAAAGCCTGTGCTCTTGACCACTGCCTTTTAAATAATAAAGTGCTAACTAAAGTTGTCAGTGGCCTCTTAAAAAGCAGAGTCCTAGAGTCTGAGATCTATAGGTACCCTTTTTTTTCCTCACTCCCCAGCAGACGCCCAGAGTTTCTTGCATCGGACCCTTCCTCCCTCTGCTCTGTTCTTCGGCCTCCCCCCGACCCCCTCTGTCCAGAACCCCTATCCTTCAGTCTCTCCACGAAGCCTGCCCCGGCTCCCAGCCTCCCTCTGTGTTAGGTGGTGGTTGCTGTCGCAGTCAGCAGAGGGCACGGATGGTGACTGGGAGCGTGTGTGCTGAAGTCAGGCTGGCTGGTTTCAGATCGCTCCCCTGCGTGACTTCGGACAGTGTACCGACTCGCCGTGCCTTAGCTTGCAGCATCGGTGGGAAGGCTGACTCATCACACAGGAGATATTTAATAAGCACTAGCTATTTTATCAGTGGCATTTATTTATTTATCATAGATTAGGATAGCTTCTTTCTTGGTCTTCTCGTCATTTATTTTTTCCACAGTGGTGTGTTTATTCTGAACTAAACAGTCATTTCCTCCAAAGCAAGGTGTTTTCTGGATTTGAGTATATGTCAGGTGGCATCTGATACATGATAAGAATTTGACGTGTACATTCAATTTGGTATGTAATTTAGTCTGAAAAGAATGTGTGTGTGGGTATTGGGTGTATTCATTATGATTGGAAAAATCATGTGATGCCCATTAAATAGTGTTCACCTTGGGCTTGTCTACAAATACAGATACGGGTTTCCTCCACTATTGCAAAATAGAGTATACCTATAAAGCCTTTTATAAGCCAAAATGGTGTGAAGCAAAGAAGCAATTGCCATTAATTTATATGAAAAAATTTTTGAGCATTCCTAGACCCAAAAAATAACCTCTCTTAGGCTTTTCTGACACACGCCGTACTAAGAGACACACAAAATAAATTGAGATAAAGCACAGATGCTCAGATACAGTTCTAAGCTCTGGCGGCTTGATGCTGAGATGCTGAGTGTCGTTGCCAGGGGAGGAGCTTGGCAGCCCACCCTCACCGCCAAGGTTACTTACACACTCCCTCTTAATGGCTCACGGCTAAACAAACACTGAAAACTGTTTGCACTTTCACTTTTTATTGTAAAAGCAAAAATCTTTTTCAGATGTCTTTTGGTCAGCAACAGTAGGTACCAATGTAGGTCTTTTGTGAAAGCAGAGTGGCCTAACACAAGCTTCCGAAAGCGGGGGATACCTGTATGCTTGGCAATTAGGAGCTCACAGTGTTCTCTGGGGTCCGTTATAGGCAGGTTATAGAAAAGCTTTCTAGCATTGGGATGGTGTCTGAGACTGCCAGTTCTCTTTTTCAACCCAAGAAGACCCTGATATCCAGAGAAGGCAAGCCCACGGTCACCCAGCTGGTGGGTGCAGAGATGGAGTTAACACCAAGCACTCTAGATTTGCAGTGCAGGTTTGAGAAACAGTGTTTAATCCAGGTGTCTTGAGTGTGGTGTTGGGTACATTTAGAGCTTGAGGCTGGGTCCAGAGCAAAAAACTTGATCACCGGGTGAAGCAGTTTGATGTTTATCCTTCAGGCCAGTGGTTTTTAAACTGTTGACCATTCTCGGCAGTAAGAATTCTATTTTTCATCATGATTCGGTACACACACACACACACACACACACACACACACACACCCTCCAAAATAAAAGTTTCAGACAGTAGTACTTACCCCTTTACTACATGCAAAGCACTCTGGTGTGTCCTGTTCTCTTATTTTTGCTTAATTTATGTAGATGCTGGCCATACCTGCTAAGGGACTTTCATGTCCCACTGATGGGTCTCAACTGGCTGTTTGAGTAAAACACTCCTTTAGGCAGTGATTTGCTTTTGAAGGCGTTAAAGCAAAGGGGAGCCCCAGTCAAAGGATAAGTCTGGCAAATGTGTGCGACCTGATAGGAATTGAATCAGCAAGCAGAGCAGCTCGACCTGCTCGGTCTGTGGTTGGACTGGAAGCTCAGGTCTCTAGATTCCCCACTGCTTGGCAGGGACCCGTTCACCTTTCCAGATCTGCGGGTTGTCTTTCACAGATCTGTGTCCCTTTGCATTGTTGTCCTTTCTCTACTGAGTCTTTGTCTCCAGGGCCCAGCTATTTTTGCATCTTCCTTTCCAGGCCGAGGACAAGAAAACGGCACTTCCCTCAGGGCTCTCGGCTGCGGAAAAAGCTGATGCCCATGAGGAAGATGAGCTTCAAGCTGCTGAAGAGGTGTGTGGCCCACGTAGGTCCCTGGGGTTTCTGCTTCAGTCATCTGGGGAGAAATTGCCCCTTCATCCCCAGCTTTGCAAAATGGCTAGCTGCCTCCCACACTGCTGTTAGCTGGCCTCTCACACTCTTTCCAGTTTCCTTTTCTCACCCCTTCTCCCATGAGCCTCACTATGAGAGAGCAAGTAAACAACCCTTGGGTTGCACCACAAAGGTCTGTGTAGACCCATTGAGGAAGGCTTAGGCGCTGGGGTCCACTCACTGCTACTTCTCCCCATTTCTCTTCCAGCAGCGTATTCAGTCGTTGATGACCAAGATGACTGCCATGGCGAATGAGGAGGTGAGGGGAGGCTGCGCGGGGGGCGCGGCGTGGAGGTGGGGACGTGGAACCGCCCTGCGCTGCCCCGGGGGGCCTCCTTCCAGAGGGACCCCCTTCATCAGAGCCCTGTCTTTTCAGTACTCAGTGCTTCCTCTTTCCTTAGGGTCTTTCTTTCGGGAAGCTTTTTTACCAGTGCATAGCATTGCCGTCCTTGGGAACCTCTGGGGGTCTGGAAGGACCCCTGGGGGGTCCCTCTACCCTCTGTAGAGGAGCCGTGGTTCAGCCCTGCCTCTCCATAACCACTCATGCCAGAAGAGCCCTCATCTTCTGTTTCCTTCCCACGCCATCTGGGTAGAAAATAGAACACCTCATTTATCGTTGGTCTTCCAGAGCTCAAGTCCTGTCCAAAAGGTTTCACCAAGGGCTTTGAAAGGATCCCTCCTTCTTAGGGCAGGAAAGGCCTGTGGTAGTTAAAAGATATTTGGAGAGTTCTAAGATTCCTGTTCCTCTCCCATTTGTCCTTCTTTTTCCCCTGAGTCGTCAGCCCTCCATGTTCCCTACAGGCTCTGTCAGTGACGCTGAGGAAGAGACCCTGAGATGGGGTATTTGGGGTAAAGAATGATTTCCCAGGGGCACCCAGGGACCAGGGAGAATCTGGCACAATCAACCGAATGACTCAGAAGGTAGAGAGATGGCTTAACATTTGGCCCAAGGCTTGTTTTCCCCATTCCTTTTTGATGGATATCTAAACAAAAGCCAGGGTATTCTTCCCCCTGGGAATATTACCTGTTTTTGCTCTATGACTCAGAGCGTTCAGGTTTTCCAGTTCTGTGAAAGACAGGCATGACCTAGAAACCTCTCTCCCTGTGATTGCAGAGCCGCCTCACCGCCAGCTCAGTAGGCCAAATTGTGGGACTCTGCTCCGCCGAGATCAAGCAGATTGTGTCCGAGTATGCAGAGAAGGTACGTGGGGGCCCGGCTGGAGTCTTTGCCTCAGGTCATGCCCCCAGGATTTGTTCTGTGTCCCTACACCCTTTTGCATCATCGATGGAGTCAAGTTGTAATTCACCAGCAACATTTGTCAAAAACATGCATGCCATGCAAAGCTGTCAGCATTTGCCCGTTAGCTCAGTTAATTTTCTTCTGCAGTGCCTATTTTTCTATACATATAAAGAGAAAACCTGTCTCTCAAGAGCAATGATCGCGTCTGATAAATAGATTTCTGAGGTATAGCACAGACATTTTTCCTTCTCTACCAGGTTTCTTATAACTCGGGCTCAGTTTGGTGATTGGGTCTAAGAATAAGCTTTGCCACTTAGGAGACAAACTCCATAACTCAGCCAAGCCCAAGGCAAAATTTTTTGTTCCACTTTATTAAAAGGGTATAGAATGAAGTAAAGCCTGAAAGTCATAATTTCAGTGTTAGATTTTTTTCTATCCTAAGAATGGGCAGCAGGACCTTGACTATTTCAGGGAAACAGTGATTAATCATTTTGCACGTAACTGATTCTGGTCGGGCTAAGATGTAGTATCGGTAAAATCAGATTTACAGGGCATTGTTTCACATCCTTCCTTTCCCGGCCATACTCAATCCATCCCCCTAAAACGTTGATGTCTGTTGAAACATCCAGCTTTGCTTTCCCTGTCTCAGAACCTTGACCACAAATTAGTTCTGCTCCGACCCTCCATGCAATATTCTCCTGAAGTGATTTTGCACAGATGATGTACTTGGGGAAGGGATGTCTCCTGAAACTGAGAGTTATGACCTACTGTAAACACAGCAGGTGGTCACCTCCCACCAAGTGAGGGGTCTTTGAACAATACAGTGAGTAAAATGGCTTAGAATGTCTGGGGGTGCGATTCTCATGTTTCCCCTATGCACCCCCCGCCAAGTCAGTGCTTCTTACTATGGGTTTTCTAATCCAACTTTCATAGAGTCCAGAGTGTCCTCTGTTTCAATTTGCCACCCAGGAAAGGTGACTGTGGTCAAAGTGTCCTCAGAGATTTGACCGGAAAATGACTTAGATAATCCTAAAAGTACAAACCAGCTTAAAAGCCTTCAAAATGTAGTTGAGGAGAATGATTCATTCATTGCCCCAAGAAGAAAGTTTCTTGATTTGTGGTCAGCACACACATGGATGGCAAGAGTGTGAATCTACATTTGCCCTTATGTTGCCCCATATCATTGCTGAATCCAGTTTTTTAAAAAAGACAACTAGAAGATGGGGCACTCACTGCAGGGGCCCTGACTTTTGTCTTCATACTTGCCCACTGCAGGCAGATAGGAGCTCAGATTATTTTAAGAGGGAAAGCAAGCAGGCTGACCCTCCTTTGTTGGTAATATGCCTCTCCTTGCCTGGGAGTCCTGAAGCTTACCTCTTTCCCCAGTCAGCTCTGCATGTCCATGTCTCCTGGATCTCTTATCCCCTGAACTTTCCCCTCCTCACCCTTGTAGAGTGATCTATACCCAACACGAGTGGCTGCACTCTCTACCTCCATTCCATTCTTCCAGAAGAGAGTGACATTAGAAGTAGTTTTGGACAGGTCTCTTTCTAAGGACATATATAATTAAACTTCTCATGAGGAATTAGAGGTCCAGAGTTCACCGCTTGATTGTCTGTGTTGTTTGCATTATGTATGTAGACCATACAGCATCAAAGGTAATGATTTTTAAAATTAAATCCTATTAATCCTATTCCCATATCACAGTCATCTCACATTTACATATTACCCCCCAGGGTTTGTCCCACATATCCATGGTTGTTCCTAGTTGCAGCTATCATGTATATCTAAAAGAGGTAGGGTGATAGAGTTAAAAAGACAGCATTTGAAGTCATATCTTGGTTCATACCTGTCCCCTCTACTTCCCAGCTGTATGACCTTGACCAACCTATTTAACCCCTCTTTGCCCTCGTATCTCCCCCTATAAAATGGGATAATATTACTTTGCTGTCAGGGTGTTGTGAAGATTAAGTAAAATGTGACTAAATGCCTCAAACGGTGTCTGGCACGTGATAGCTATTCAGCTAATGGTCGCTTTCATTTGCTTTTTTATAGTCTGCATTTTTTTTATGTCATTTCAAATCCTAAACATTTTCTGTGTTTCTAGCCTTTGCAGTTATTTGAATATTGGATAATCCATGTGTTAGTACAGCCCAATTCCTCAAACATTTCCCTATTGTTCGACTTTTGTTTGTGTTTGCCATTGTGGATAACGCTGTCGTAAACTCTGAGCAGATAGTTTCTACTAAAAGGTTTCCTAGGAGTTGGATGTTGGGTTATGACTTCTCTTTGTTGCTTTACAAATAAGCTGTAACAACATAAAATACTGTCAGTGATGAGGGGCTTCACCATGGCCCCACATTTCCAACTTTGTTCATTTGTCTAACTTGCTACTTTAGTACCATAAAATGGCACCTCTTTCAACCCAAGAGGTTGGACCATGGTTCCATGTTTTGTTTACTCTCTTTTCTACTATGTAAATTGTCTGTTATTCCCTGTACTCATTTATCTTTTGGATATGTGATGTTTTTCCTGTAAATTTGTATATAGTCTGTATTCTATATTTATGTATTTCATCACGGAAGTATTTCTTGGCTGTTCTTTTATTTTTGAATTGCTTTTCATTATAAACAAGGAATTTGTACCTAAATCAGTAGATCTTTTTGTTATTGTTTCCAGGTGACAGGGTCATCATTTTTCCATGGATCCAGTAAAGTAATCCATTACATTTCAGTTCGTCTTTTACTGATTATGTTTAATTCTTTAACTTATATAGAGTTCACTTTTATTTAGTCTAATGGGATCTGTGCTAATTTTCCTCCTCCTGTCCACTCTCCTAATACCATTTATTCATAATTTCTTTATACTTACTTGGAGATAGCTTACTGTATTTTTGTGGTTTTGATCTAATTTAAACTGTATATGGACTCTTTCTTTATTGGTTTACACTCCTCTAATTTTATGCAAGTTCCATGGTGAAGTTATGTTTGGCTTTGTTGTAGTTGTTTGCATTATTGTTTGCTCTTGTTTTATCAGTGGCCTCCCACCAGAGATCACGAGGAACACACTGTAGTTGAACAGTAGGATTTATTGCTGGTACTGGTGGGGGAGACTGTGCACGAGTGAGAAGCCATACAGCATCTCAGTAAGGAGGCATTAGAAAAGACGTACTATGGGATTTGGGCTTGTTTTAGGGGTTTTGAGGGAAGGACCAAGAAGGTAGGGCTTTGCTTTGTGTTGGATGTTTTAAGGAAGGGCAATTCTATAGAGTGTCTAAATAAATTTTATAAGATGGAGGAATGAAAAAAAATTAAAAAGATGGGGTAATGAGTCAGGGTTAAAGCGGTGCACTCATATTAGCCAGTATAGGGGGATGTTTGGTCCATTTTTGTGATTTGAGCAACGATTAGGTTTTGTCCGTGTTCAGACATGATTACAGAGTGGTCATGTTTTTGCCTTCCATCTTCAAGACCTCGTGTGATGTTGACATTCTTTGGAATTACCTATGTTTAACACCAAGACCTAGTATGTGCAGGGCAACTCCCAGCAACATCAAGGCCTTGCTGAGAATGCCAGGTCGGCTTTCAGATGCCAGAGGCTACTTTACTTTTTCTCTGTTCATATAATTAGTTATCTATTGCTGCATAGCAATATTAATACAAAGATAGTAGCTTAAAACAACACACATTTATTATCTCACAGTCTCTGGGTCAGCAGTTGAGCATAGATTAGCAGGATTCTTTGTTTAGGACTCTCACAAGATTGCAATGAAGGTGCTGCCCGGGGCTGCTTTCTCATCTGAGGCTCAACTGGGGCAGGATCCACTTCTAAGCTCATGTGGTTGTTAGCAGCATTCAGCCTGTTGGCTGAAGTCCTCAGCTCTTGCTGGCTGCCAGCTGGAGGCTGCCCTCAGTTCCTTGCCATGTGGCCTTCCCCAACATTGCCACTTGTTTCATCAAAGCCAGCAAGGGAGAGCACCTCCTCATAGGCTAGACATTATACTTCTCTGTAATAGCTATGTACATGCACTGACATCTGTCCCATCACTTTGCTATTTTCTGTTGGTTAGAAAGAAGTCACAGGTCTCACCCCCATTCAGGGGAGGGGCTTACACAAAGGCCTGAACACCAGGAGGCAGAAGGATAGGGCTTTTGTGGGTTGTCCACCACAGTGTGTTTGTATTTCACTTTAATCTTACTGCCATGAGGGGCGCCTGGGTGGCTCAGTCGTTAAGCATCTGCCTTCGGCTCAGGGCATGATCTCAGGGTCCTGGGATTGAGCCCTGCATCAGGCTCCCTGCTCAGTGGGAAGCCTGCTTCTCCTTCTCCCACTCCCCCTGCTTGTGTTCCCTCTCTCACTGTTTCTCTCTATCAAATAAATAAATAAATAAATAATATATATATCTCTCTAATCTTACTGCCATGAATTGGGCTGATACCAGGCACTGGCAATTTATCTAAAATCCATGCCCTTACCTTCAGGGTTTCAGTAATGAATCCCTTGGAAGTGGGGGTGGGATTGAGGGATGCCCCAAAGGGAAGCCATCAGAGGCACTTGAAAGAAACCCAAATTAGGCTGTGAACAGGATGGATTTTTGCTTAGTGAAGAAAAGGAAAGGGACAAGATAGTTTTGGGAGGATGAAAGAGTGAAAATGATTTTGTGACCAAGGAATGAATTGAACAGCCGGCCTGGTGCAAGTTGGAAACTTGACAGGCATTGGAATATAAAAATGTGGTAAAACACATGTGCAGGCTTCTCTTTGATTTGTAAAGTTCACAAGTTCTTATAGTAGTGTAACATGATAAGTAGCCCATGTGTTTCAAAGCAAACCTCTGAGATATGTAACTCAATTTAATATGGTTCCTGTAAAGCAGCAGGGAAGAGGAATGTGAAGAAGCTTCCAGATATATAATTCATGAGCTCATGTAGGCTCTTGGCCAAGGAGCACCATCTCCCCTTT